CTGTAGTAGGACGGGTCTGAGGGGTTGTATTTTTTAAGGATCGGGTGGACCAAAGCTGTCTTCCAAGAATTCGGGACTACGCCTTGGGAGTAGGAGTACCGGAAAAGATGCGTTAAAACCGGTGCGAACTCCGGAGCACACGTCTGCAGCACAATGGGAGGGACTCCATAAGACCCACTCGACTAACTGACGTCCAGGGAGAACAGTGCTTTACGCACTGAGTTGTGTTGTCGAGTTGGAAGCAAAGAAAGAGCCTAGCAGATCGGCTTTCTCTTTTACGGCATGGGCCAGTGACTAGTCCTCCCTGTGCAGAGATGACTGACAGAAGTTCCCTTGGACAGCTTTGGCGAGAGAAATGAAATGAGAAAGAGATTCTTTCTTTCTTTCTCCAGCTGAGTATTCGTATAGAGCAAGGCCAGCGTCTCAAGATGGTAGCAGACGGTGTTAAGGTTTGAATGAAGGTCCCATGATGTTGCAGAAATTCATAGCAAATTCATAGATAAGAGTGGCATGGGTTTCCTTTGACTTATTGCTCCGCTTGCCCCGAGCAGTTTTAGTCTCGAGTGGAATTTCGCCCCCCAGAATCCTCGGGGCATTCTGAGCAGGAAAGGGTAGCAGAGACGAGCGAGGGCGGTCACATCAGATGATGCTCGTTTGCCCCCCTAAAAAATTATGATTGCTAATAACCCCTGGAGATGACGTGGTCGTTACCCAGCCGTTTCTAAAATAATTTTTTTATTAGTTTGTACAACGTTACATATTGTAAAATTTACTTAAAAAATTACTTGCAATTGGAATTTCATGTGGTCTATATTAAATAAAAATTACTCTATTCTATCTACATCTTATTGCTCGGGGATGGAGGCGCATCTGCATTTTGATCCTTGATCGAGGATAAATGTGGATGTCTATGGAACACAGCATCTACTTACCATTGCGAGGACTGTGTGCTCGATTCCTACCCATATTCAATAAAAAAGCAGTGGAACGTGTATAGATGGTAACTTCGCTTTTAAAATCTAAATTGAATTAAATAAAACCAGCTTATAACATTATGGAATTGGAATTATTTATTAAAATATTATTTACATGAATATTTAAAAACTGATATAACACGGCCTTTACTAACTTATGGCAATACAGTAGAATATCTACCCTATACGATGGTTGTCTAAAGTTCGAATTTGTGTAACGGAGATTGGTATACAAATAATGTCAAACATTCTATTTTTAAGTTTTACTGACCATAGTGGAGCAGTAAGCCGATTTTTATTTAATGAGGGCATCCACGACTTTTTTGCCACCAGGGCGGCGCCACTGAGGAATGAGGTGAAATTTTATACAGATTTCTTAGCGGGAAAGTTAATTTCTTCGTAAAGTAGAGATAAATATTTATTTCTGAAATATTTTATATTAATCAGATTAGGAATAGATAAAACAGACTACGGATATTTCATATAGTAGAAATTTAAAAAAAATGTATAAAAAATGAAAGAATACAGCACTGAGGCATTGTTTTGTGTATATGTACACATACATAAACTAGAAACAAAAAACCTTATAATTAAAACGCAACTTTTTAGGGTTCCGTAGTCAACTAGGAACCCTTATAGTTTCGCCATGTCTGTCTGTCCGTCTGTCCGTCCTCGCTTAATCTCTGTGACCGTTAGCACTAGAAAGCTAAAATTTGGTACCAATATGTGTATCAATCACGCCGACAAAGTGCTAAAATAAAAATCGGAAAAAAAATGTTTTATTAGGGTAGCCCCGCTATATGTAAAGTGGGAAGTGATTTTTTTTTAATTTCAACCCTAACGTGTGATATATTGTTGGAAAGGTATTTAAAAATGAATAGGGGTTTACTAAAATCATTTTTTGATAATGTCAATAATTTTGGAAATAATCGCTCCAAAAGTAAAAAACAATGTGTCCCCCCCCTCTAACTTTTGAACCATAAGTTTAGAAAATATGAAAAAAATCTGGAAAGTAGAACTTTATAAGCACTTTCTAGGAAAATTAATTTGAACTTGGATGGAAAGAACAGTTTTTGTACAAACTCATAAGTGGGAACACTTACTGTGACGGACGGGAAACTACGGAACCCTACACTGAGCGTGGCCCGACACGCTCTTGGCCGCTTTTTAATGATGATAACACTGTATGATTATCTGCGTAACGAATAAGGTCACCTCAGTCGTAGCACTCATTGAGAAAAAAACTAAATAAATAAAAACATATTCTCGTTAAGGACTAGCAAAAACTTTGTCAGTCTCCGCCACACAAGCCCGAAGATCACACAACAGCACTCACCACACTCACACCGCACTCTGCATAGGGGACAGGCAGTGCTTATAGAGTTAATTTGCTATAAAAAAACATAGACATCATTTTCATGAATCGTTCGACTTCAATACCGTATATCTACACCACGCGACGGAAAATTACACAAAAATTTTGATTAAAAATGCACCAAATTCGAACCTATTCTCTGTTCATTTTAGCATGAGATTCTATATAAACTACCAACCATAAAATGAGTTCTTTTTTTATAGAAGAGGGGGCAAACGAGCATGCGGCTCACCTGATGTTAAGTGACTACCGCCGCCCATGATCAACCGCAACACCAGGGTAAATTTATATTCATTATTCATAGGTTTAATTAAATTATGGTTAGAATACATTTAAAAATAAAACATTTTACTTGTAGAAGAAGTGCATTTACTCAAATAAGCGCGTATTTGATTACTTTTTACATGATTGTTCTTTAACTCTGCCAGTATATGCCCATATACTTAGCGCTGCTTAATTTTAAGATGCCGTTAAATCTCGTGCTGTCTCTATCACTAAGTTAAAGTGACTGTAAACTCCGAGACTTAACTACATCGTAAAATTGAGTATTTGAGCATTAGTGTCACTAATGACAAAAGATAAAGAAAGGAGCACACAATGTTAACGAGACATTTATAAAATGCATGAATGTGTAGACAATTTAATTGTGTTACTAATGAAAACTCTTTACAAAATATTTCTTCAGCTAGATTAAATAAAAATAATATTTTGCTGCTTTTGTTTTGTTATATCATACATGTATTAACCAAATTAATGAAATAAAATTGTGGTTTATGTATTATATGGTACTTTTTTGTGATATCACAAATTTCTTAGCTCAAATACGAGTGAGGCTAAAAATGTTTGAGAAACACTGTATTTAATGTTTACATAAAATTTCATGCTAAAGTGAAGTGTACATTATACTACATCATTGATAGTGAACCGCGACGCGCCAGCGCGAATGCGTCCATACAAATTCATACACAATCTCCACTCAGCTCTACTCAAACCACGAATAAATCGGCCATCAAGGCTGTGATCACCTGCTTACACTAATATCAGTATATACACAGTTGTTCTAGTTCCAAATTGAAAACAGAGGTCGCCTCTGCACCTTAAAAATATATTTACAAAGCGTAAACTTATAGATAACATTAATTAGCTAAATTAAAACATTTTGGAATAAATAATTTGCGGGTAGTTACGTATAAACATAATATACAAATATATGCAATTAAAGATAACATTGGTAAATAAGGCTGTACACTTTCCCACCATATTACATTGCGTGCTCTTTTGTTCTATTCCTACAGACGTGTTTATTATTTTTTCTTTTCGTGTTACCAAATAAAAAACTACCTTCAACAATAGGATTTTTTTCGTAACGTGGAGGCAGCTTAAGTTTCACAAGGATATATAACCTGACCCGGAACAATTATTCGTAGATCTTACAAACATTTGTTCCGAGCAGGATTCGAACCCGCGGCCCATAGCGCCGCGACTAAACACCACTGCACTACGGAGTCGTCAGTAAAAAAATGTTAAATAAATATGGCAAATACGGTATTTACTCATCAGTAGGAAAATACCACGTCAACCTAACAGCAAGTGTCAAGAGTGAATAAACTTTTATAAGGTTATAATTGCTGTTGCATTAAATGTTCTTCATGTTAATATGTCTTATAAAATACTAGTGTTAGACCAAAGGTAGATTTCTTGCCGGAGCCAAGGCTCGAAAACCCAAAGAAATTTAATTCAAGATTGGCCAAAAATAATAATATAATGGATTTTAAAACTTTAAATTTTAAACTTTATATTGACTGCATAATACAAAAATGTAACTTTTAGTCATCTCTAGAAATTGATCTAGAGATGATGAAAATTGCGTCGCCATATCAATTGCGCTCTCACTTATTCGTAACAGTTCGTTCAATTTCGACGCTTGCTAGAAACCTTTAGCTGGTATTTTTGGTCGAAACTTCGGTCTGACACTATAAAACACACACATTAAAAATGCATATAATATAACAACCTCCTGGCCAATTTTAAATTGGTTTATGGCGACGTCGTATCGTAAGAGACCACTATGAACCAGAAAGTTCTTACGGTTTTCGATAGGATTGCTTACGCTGTATAGCAGGGTAAAGGATAATATTACGATCGATAATCTGTGCTCCATCTATTCAATTCGGGCCCACATGCACCAGTAGACTTTTCGGGGCTGTATGATTTTATTTATTTATTTATTATAATAAAATAATGATGAATTTTCGCAACAGACGAAATTAATAAACCCTGACTTTTCCTCTACATTTCATAAAATTTATCCAAGAATTAAGTCATCATGAGTTGCAGCTATGCACATCTTTATCATGGCAACTTATGCCATCGCACGCTTTCACCATCTTTTCTGACAAACATGCTATATTAAAAATGCAACATAAAAGAAATTATCACAAAACCGAACTGATTTCAAGTCAAATGGAATAAAACCAAACACAACATACAACTATAGATAGTTATAGGATAATAGGTATTTTTATAATTTACTTAAATATTAGAATTGCTTGTACATTTTGGACATAGTTCCGCCATCCTTAAAATAATTTATTTGATGGTAGAAATCTTTATACAGTTTTAAACATTTATTTGATACCGTCAAAATAAAGTTAGACAGTCAAGCTGGTGATAAGTTGCTGGCACAGTTTCCCGTACTCCCTCTGATCTCCCGAGATCCGTCTCATTTTCAAACCTTTCTTCTCCTTGGCTTTATTCTCGCACACGATTAGTTCTATCTGGATTCCGCCGGAATATTCTAAATTGAGGAAGCCAGTTAACGCCTCGGAATCATCATGCTTCTCCTTCTGATCGCCCGTCTCAACGAATATGTTCTGCGGTGGAACTCTGGTGTTGATAGTTTCCTTCAACAGCTCCACTATCCTCTGCGAGTCAAGTTGGGAACAAACCGTGGACAAAGCCACTTCATAATACTCTTGGAAGCAGGAGACCTTCTGTGGACTAAGCAAAATGGGTATCTTCTGCTCCTCAGGTCTGCAGATATCAGTCAAACGAAGGTCCAGAGTGGAACGTTGCAGCTTTTCTATCTCCTCCTGTCTCGGTTGCTCCATATCAGACTTATCTAAGCCGTATTTACTATCACGTGGCATGTACGCGTCCTCGTAATATTCCTTGACTTCTCCGAGGACTCCCTGAGCCGAGAAGGAGGATCTTGGCGTTTCGCCTTTCTCCGAGAAACTTCCACGTCCAAAGTCACTTCTCTCAGAAAACGAGGATCTACCGAAATCGCCTCGTTCCGAGAAACTTCCTCTATCGGAGAACGAGAAGGACTCCCTGTGTTCTGAAAAACTGCCTCGATTTTCACTGAAGCCCGAGCTCACAGAAATGATGTTGGAGTAAATCGACTGAATGTTCTGTTCACAATTCGGAGATACGTTCGCCGAGTCATTGCTGAGAGAGTCATCGCTGAATCCCAAGGACTTGTCACTCCCACGTCTCAGGTACGTCAGGTCTTCGGTCAGGAACTTGCTGGTTTCATCTACACTCTCTTTAGGCGACTGCATTTCGGTATCCTTATCCAAGTGTAGATCCAAGTCTTTGGGTACTTCTATAGGAGGCGGCGGCTCGTTCTCTTGACTGACTTTCCTGCCGATGCCTTTGGTTATGGACGGTCTGTCGTCCAAATCAGAAGGCTCCGATATGACAAACTGTGGCAAGGAATACTTGGCATTCTCCAAACTATCGACACTATCTTCAGAGGAAGAGGCAACCAAAGTGATTTCCGACCCCAGGCAATCCGTTAAACTTATTTGAGGATGACTGGAGACATAACTTGGGAACTGGACATTTCTCACCCCCTGAGCGAAGAGTTTGCTGTCACCATTATGGCTTCCATTTCCGATTTCCTCCTGTATCATATCTAGGGGAGAACCTGGGTTGGAGATAGGAGAGTTATTAAGTGATCGATGGGTGACCATATGTAATTGAGGATGGACCATGGGATGGAGTTGGGGATATTGACCTGTGTCCATGTCGACGTTGCTCCTGAGATCGAGAGGGGTCGAATTGGGTTGTGGAGTGCCTCTCGTTATGGATCCGGTGTGAAGGTAGCTGAGGCCTTCGGTGATTTGATGCAATGGGGACCCTGGGCTGACTGGAGACGCGTGTCCGGAGAGAAGGGCGAAGCCGTGGGCGTGGAGCGCCTTCACGATCTCTTGAGATATATTCACGTGCGGCGAACACAAGTTGTGTAAGTTGATACCCATCTTTAGTGCCAAGTCCTGTAAATATAGTGTCATATTTGAGAATAAAATCGAAAATATTAAATCAGTACCAAATCGAACATAGATTACCGTGTAATGAAGGTGTAAGAATATCCACTACGCCATATCATCACGTTAGTGTCGTAAGAGGCGATAGAGAGAAACAAATTAAACTACGGGCAACATCGTCTTCCTAATAACTCGGAAGAAGTTGCTGTCTCTGGGGAAGCAAGAAATCATAAATTGTAGAAGTAAGGAGAACCGTCTCTGTATTAAAAAGTATCCGTAGGAAAGCTCTAAATAAGGGTGGCGCCACTGTAGCTAGAGGACAATAAAAAGTTCTTTAAATTTTAAAGAACTTTGTACTGCACAGACTCACCATAATTCTAAAATACTATATACATATACTACTATTAATTACTCTTATTTTCATCAACTATTTTAGTCACCACAAATATTAAATGTCTCAAGTCAGCACACTTCACTCTGTTGACAACTGCTAAGTTCACTTCATACCCTCTAGCTACTCCAGCGCTGTTGTGAAGAGTTTTTGAACTATTATTAATTGCTTACAGATGGATACTTTTTCAACTATTGTCTTATGTGAGATGGATCTCCTTACCTCTACACTTCACGCAAGAAATGAATCGGAGAAAAACACTTTCGCTTCTACTACTGAAAGTGTTAATGGTGTGAAGTTGTGTAAAAGCCATATTTATTGTATGAGTGATTATGAATTGTATTTTGTTGTATTAAATATATATGTCGAGGTAGTGTCTAATTATCTTCGACCAAGGTAAAATACCGTAGTACCGTGTAGTGGTGGTGTAAGAAGACCAACTACCCCATATCGTCTCGTAAAAACCTATTTACCGTTACAGCCTTTAATATTCTTTAACGGTAAGTAAAACTAAAATTTACAATATGCTTAATAATCAATAGTCCCATATCAAGGTTGGATATAACAGTTTGTCTCACCTGTGTGAGTAGTAGGGTCCGCGGAAGTTCAGCAGCTGCAGCGTCGGGTAGAGCTCTCGCTGCGCACAGTATGGCGCGCGCAGCCTCCACTGATAAAGCGCTCAGCTCCAGCGGTGGGGGCGCGCCGCAATGCCGCGGGGAACCTAACACAAGCATGACATAATAGAAAGAAACAAAGAGATTTATTTGACCAACGCACATTGAGCTATTATTATTCGACACTGCATTCAGCTACTCTGTTCCACTCACCTGCGGTGCATACACCGCACATTGATCAGTCACTCGCTAGGCGCTTATAGAGTTGTCACGTGTTGTGTTGATTTTAAAAAAATCTCTTGATAAAAATACGCCGTAGTGTGTACTTAGATTTTGCACAAATAATTCAAGAAATGTCAGTAAAAACCAAGGAATTACTTTTCATCGGTTAATAAGGTACTAAAAGAATAAAAAAAAGTATGATAGATTAATAATAAAACAAATTATTCCTAAGATGCTATCTCGTATCATGGAATATAGATTATGAAATTAATATGTTCAGATGACATTTCTGTAGGTACTTAAGTATAGGTGCTTTCATACGGCCTCTTGTTGTGGAGCAACTCGGTTGAGGTTGGCTAGGCCTTTCGTATTCAAAAGAAGTGTGTAAGGGCCATTTGTGGAACTTGATCTTTAGATAGTTGCAAGCCTTTATTTCACAAATTTCACATACTGCCGCTAGCTTTTATGTACATACGGGAACTTTGTGTTTTTGTCAAAAATCATCCACAATATTTCATCATTAACTCAAGTTTAGTCAGTAGAAGTGCCATGCCAAGAAATAAATTTAAGCTACATCTGCCTCAAAGCAGACGTGATATATATAAAGGAAATGTATTTATAAATGCCATTAGAGTTTACAATAAATTGCCTAACATTTCAAAGACCTACCTTTCGTTATTTTTCAAAGGAAACTCACAGAATGGCTGGAAACAAAATTTTTTTATAGTGTAGAGGAATATATGACTTATAAATAAATCTACAATAATGGTAATAATGGAAAAATTAATTAATTTTTTTGTCATTTAATATTTATTTTATTTTTTGGCATTTTTTTAGACACTTGACATTTATATATAATCATTTAAAAAATTGGTGCTGAAATATTTTTAAAAGATTACATCTAAGTAAGATCTCATTAATAAATAAAATCATCATAATATTATTTACTGCATTCTGGCAACGAATAAATGAATTTGAATTTGAATAGGACGAATATATCATTAAACACGTTTTTTTTGTGGAAATATAGATAAATTATTATAATTAGGCTAAATTTTTTATGTTTAAATCTGCTTATTATTCTTTTATTTTATTTTTATGTTTCCACATCAAAGTCAAATTAGTATAAATTCGTCCATTTTTACCTCTCGCGTGCCCAGCATATATGAACGACTCTTATTCTAATTTAAAGTACCCGGATGACCGAGCTTTCTTGGTTTTTTTTTCAAGTTACATTTAGATACAAATTACATGAATAATATTTTTTGATCTTATTGACATAACAGAAAAAACTGAACTGGTTCTTTGAATAAAAAATCATGAGTGCAATTAGTTTAATTAAAATTTTCGTATTAAAAAAAAACTAAAAAAAGGGCTTGAAATCATAGATTTTCTCACAAAAAGAAGGGAACTTGAAAAAAAAAGGAAAAAAGTCGGACCCAAGACGGGACGCATTTACCAAGGCATTACGATTTCACGGCCGCTCGATATCTACTTGAGCTATTACGATCATTAACAAAGCGTCAAAATTTACCTTCTTATATTGTAGCAATTTTTAATTGCCTGAAAACACGGACAAAAAGAAATTTTCTAAAAATAAATCCTAGCTAGATCGATTTATTGCCCCCGAAACAAAATCGTTGAAACCGTTTCCGAGATTCCGATTATATATATATATATATATATATATATATATATATATATATATATATATATATATATATAAGAATTGCTCGTTTAATCTAATTTAAATAAATATATTTGTAATTAATTTAAATGTTATGTTAATAAGTTTTGTTAAACATACATTATGTTTTTTATATTTGACATAGATACCTTTTAAAATATTCAGATAAAAATATCATTAAAATGCAATTGTGATATTATATTAAATAAGCAAATATAATATACAAAATAAATGACGCAATTTAAATATTGTTCTTGATATAATTAACCTATCTAACAATACAATCTACTATTACCTACGGGTCATTCTACCTATGTTTATTCTATGATAAAAAAACAACCGCGCGAACACAGAGTAGCGCACATTTTTTGTTTGAGATAGCTGATCTAGTACGTAAGTACATATTACTTCAATACCAACGCACAATATTAAGAAACAGAAATTCCTAGTACAAATTAGTAAATGCAATGGCGTAATGTCAAAATGGATCCCCTCTCAGTGATAATCGTCAGGACCTTAACTGACTCACGAAACAACCGGAGGTTGATACAAAAAAGTACTTATAAAAAATTTACGTATAAATATCCATTATAATAGATTCAGAACTATATTGTAATACGTCTAAGTTGTATAATTAGTCTTTGCCTTCAGCAGTAAGCAGAAAGGCAGCAATCGTTGTGCTAAATTTACAAGAGAAAGTAATTTTTAGTAATACATTCATGGGGCAATGTAAACGATATTATGATGATGTCCCAGAAAATATACAAGCTCAAGCTAACCCTGGGAATGAGCTAGTCACTTTCAAACTGATTGTATAAGTTTTGTAATTAATTTGTTCAACCAGTATTTAAACACCAAATTTTACTTTGAATAAAAAGGCCCGCTGGGTTTCTTGCTGGTTTTTCCCAAGTCAGAGGGTTTTTACGAACCAGTGCTTATGATAAAATAATTCTTATTACTATAACTTATAAGACTAACTTATAAGAATAGAAGGAAAGTTGGTCGAGCAAGTAGATGAGTTTGTATATTCGGGATGTGTATTCAGAGATGGGAGATATGATAAGGATATAGAACGACGAGTGAATGCAGAAAATAAAGTAAATGAGGCTCTACACTCTATTGTGAAAAGTCAGAATTTGTCAAAAGAGTCATCTATGGCAATTCACAACGCTGTGTTGGTCCCTACTTTAATGTATGGTATTTTAGAGCTAAATCTGAGTGACAGGGTGAGATACTGTGTGATAAAAGAAGAGTGTGGTTTGCAAGATGATGCTGTGACCAGGATTAAGAAAGGAATGCTTCGGTGGTTTGGTCATGTGGAAAGAATGAATGAGGAAAGAGTGACAAAGAAAATATATGTTGCAGAAGTGAATGGAAGAGTTGAAAAGGGACGACCTAGGCGAAAGTTTGTCGACCAAATTGGCGATATATTAAAAATGGCCTAAATTAAGAGTACCCTTAACCGATGAGCATGTATGCGTAGGTATATGGAGGTGGAGGTAGCGAGAGGTATATCAGGATCGTGCTAAATGGAAGTCTGTAGTTTCTGCCCTCCCCTCTGGGGACAGGCATGAGTGTTTATGTATGTTTTGTCAGTATGGTAAAAGTAAGACAACGACGTTAAATGGCAAGTGTATGCTGTATCTTATAGACATATACACATATTCTTGTTAAGAATCAAAATACGTTGCCACCGTTGAGGACTAAGATGGAATGCCTCGTTTCCAGTAAAAAGTCCCCAATTCAATATAATAAACAATAAGAAACACAGCAGCATTAAGCTGCTATTTTACTCTGGTATTCTGTGAGAGCGTGGTCCTTCCCCAATCGAGTCATGTGACGCGACAAACATAATATAACTGCAGCATGGCTGTACTACGTGAAAAACCTTACACATGTCAACCTTCCTTCTGCGTAGACTATTTTTCGCACAGCAATTACACTCAACCTTATAATATAAATATAGTACCTGGATGACCGAGCTTAGCTATAGAAAATTTTTGTTCATATTTCATCAGTATGTAATTTGTATTGGTATTTTTCATTTTGGAAATCGTGGTTTTTGGAAATTATATTTAGATACAAATTACATACTAATGAAAAATATTAATAAAAATTTTCGATCTTCTCGGTCAATATTTGTCGTGTTTAAAAAAATATATACTAAAAAAAGGTCTCCAAATAATATATTTTCTCACAAAAGAAGGAACTTGAAAAAAGTAAGACCGGAGACATCTGGACTCGGACCGGCGCCGAGCTCGAGCTTAAGCTGTTATAACCTTTTAGGCACTGGTAAAATTTACCTTCGTATTACATATAACGATATTGTAGCAGTTTGTCATTGCCTGAAAACATGAATAAAACGACATTTTCTAAAAACGAATCCTAGCTAGATCGATTTATTGCCCCCAAAACCCCCTTCATACAAAATTTCATGAAAATCATTGGAACTGTTACTATAAATAATACGTACATAAAGTACGTTACGTTTAAAATAATTATTATAATTTATAGGATCCGGTTCGCTGCAACTATATTATGGTTGTAGTACGAATCTGTCGGCTCGACCGGGGTAGGACCACGCTCTCACAGAACACCAGCGTAAAATAGCAGCTTAATGCTGCTATGTTTCGTATAGTGAGTGTAGAGAGCCGGAAACACGTTTTAATGGAATCGAAGCATTCCATCTCTTAGTCCTCAGGGGAGATAACGTATCTGATTCTTAATCGAGATTAAATATAGATGTCTATGGGCTACAGCATCCACTTACCATCAGTTGGACTGTCCTATAAAAAAATATGCTTTTTATGTAAGCGTTGAAATTATCCAAAGGTTAATCAGTATATTACAGGGAAACTTGTTAGTAATTGTAAATATACTAGCGATCCGCCTCGGATCGCAAGGGATTCAGTGAAGGGGTTTCTGGATCTCAACAACAGCGCCACCTACCGGGTTCAGTTGTGAATCTAAACCATCCAAGGACCACGTATACATACATAAAATAAATCATCAAAAACGATCCAGAGTTCAGCGATAAACACACATACAGAACAATTATATAGCTATGGTAATTATTATCAATAATAATAATAATAAATAACATTGATGTGTCTGTTGGTATTTTACAATTAACAACTTTTACAAAATATATATGAAAATATATAAGGTACTTATAACAAAAAAAAAAATTAAAATATTTTTGTTTATCTGTCTGTTTGTTCCAGCTAATCTCCGAAACTGCTGGACCTATTTTGACGGGACTTTCACCGGCAGATAGCTGACGTTATAAGGAGTAGGCTTAGGCTTAAGCTACTTTGAATTTTGAAAAAGAATTAGGATTAAAAAAATTCAACCCATTAAATCAACAAAAACAGTGATACAAATGTGTTACCGGGCATAGAGGTGGTAGGTGTGTGCAGGCGGCTGTCGGGACGCGGGGGCGAAGCGCCCGGCGCTCCGCTGCCGGCACTCCGCCGCTCCAGACCACGCTGCAACACGACTGACTTCAAATATGGGTCTCACACTTCGTGTGGGGTTTTTAAAACCATAGCACGGATCAGTCTTCAGTTCAAAGATCATGTTCAGTCAGTTCAGCGAAACCAATCTTCCAGTTTTCAAACAAATATTTTATGGTTGTTTTGTTACATACAGGCTGTGGCGTAATGAATGGATGATGTGGTACCTACGGGTAGACGTTGTAGCGGTTCAGAAAAATATGTTTTATGTTTAATAAAGTCCCTCGGTTTTAGAGATAATTCAATATTATCGAAAATTCAAAAATATTACACGCTTTGTATTTTAGTTGCAAGACTCGAAATGAAGGGATTTTTTTCAATCTGTGTTTCGATAGTATTCCTGGATAGAGGCGCCATCAAATGTAAGCTACGATTTTTGGGGCGCATGCACAGTTTTTTTTAGACAAAGATCTCCAACTCCAATTTTATATTTTACTTATTTTTTCCCAAGCTTAACCTAAAGTGGTGTAAAAAAAATATGGTCACCTGAGTGTCAAATTAAGAAAAAACATCCTATTACATCGAGATTCTGAAGTGGTATAACTCACTATATTTCTAGCATTTAATACAAAATAAATTCCTATTACAACGAGTCACGACCTAGTTTAATGTAAGCCTTGTTCTTGAAATTTTTTTTTGCAACAATGTTCTTCATAGGTAATTGAATTCACAGAAACAACCCCTCTGCCTGGTAGAGAATAATAATTCCTGGAAAAGATCGGTTACTTACATTAGGTACAATAAAGCGACGAATAAACTAAACATAAAACATATTTTTCTGAACCGCTACAACGTCCTCCATTACCATTCAGTACGCCACACCCCGTATGTCTGTAACAAACAAGTGTTATGTACTAGTAGTTTGTTATTTTATTGAAAAGTCATAATTATCATCATCATCATAATTTCCCCAGGGGACACTATAAAGCACGGCCCAGAGCTACCTGCATTTATTGATTTGCTGCATCTTTTATCAGGTCGTCACTCCATCTAGTCAGAAGCCTACACTTCGCTTACCGGTATGAGGCTACCCCTCGAGAACCGTTCTTTACTTGAAATTGGGATGAATTTTTACTCTATCATTAATTCATATATTCGTTCTATCATTCATTTATTCATCCAATCATTTGTTTTTATTAATTTATTCGTCTAATAATGCGTTTGTTAACTATCATTCGGTTATCTATTAATTTATTCATATGATCATTTATTTATTTGTTTAATGATTCGTTTGTTCATTCTATCATTAGTTAATTTGTTCGTCCAATCATTCATTCATAAATCTAACTATTCGTTTATTCGTCCAATAACTCGTTCATCTATCAATTATACATCTAATCATTCGTTCATCATTTTATTAATTCGTTGGTCCAATCATTGTTTGATTCTTTCATTCGTTCATTAATTCATAGATCAAATGATTGGTCGATTCAGGCTGCGCGGCGCGCAGCGGCGAGCTCTCGGCGCGCCGCACCGGCGAGTAGCTCCCGCGTGCTCGCAAGCTATACCACACACCACGCACCGGCCACATCTCAATGTGCAACTAACCTGCAGCTGCTGGTACTCGAGGCGCGCAGAGGCCAGGTCGTGTGCGGCGCGCGGCGGCGTGCTCTCGGCTCGCCGCGCCGGCCAGTAGCGCTCCGCGTACTCGCGAGCTGCACCACACACCACGAACCGGCCACATCTCAATGTGCAACCAACCTGCAGCTGCTGGTAGTCGAGGCGCGCAGAGGCCAGGTCGTGTGCGGCGCGCGGCGGCGTGCTCTCGTCTCGCCGCCCCGGCGAGTAGCGCTCCGCGTGCTCGCGAGCTGCACCATACACCACGCAACGGCCACATCTCAATGTGCAACTAACCTGCAGCTGCTGGTACTCGAGGCGCGCAGAGGCCAGGTCGTGTGCGGCGCGCGGCGGCGTGCTCTCGGCTCGCCGCACCGGCGAGTAGCGCTCCGCGTGCTCGCGAGCTGAACCACACACCACGCACCGGTCACATCTAAATGTGCCACTAACCTGCAGCTGCTGGTACTCGAGGTGCGCAGAGGCCAGGTCGTGCGCGGCGCGCGGCGGCGAGCTCTCGGCGCGCCACACCGGCGAGTAGCTCTGCGCGTGCTCGCGAGCTGCACCACATACCACGCACCGGCCACATCTCAATGTGCCACTAACCTGCAGCTGCTGGTACTCGAGGCGCGCAGAAGCCTGGTCGTGCGCGGCGCGCGGCGGCGAGCTCTCGGCGCGCCGCACCGGCGAGTAGCGCTCCGCGTGCTCGCGAGCTCGCGAGCTGCACCACACACCACGCACCGGTCACATCTAAATGTGCCACTAACCTGCAGCTGCTGGTACTCGAGGTGCGCAGAGGCCAGGTCGTGCGCGGCCCGCGGCGGCGAGCTCTCGGCGCGCCACACCGGCGAGTAGCTCTGCGCGTGCTCGCGAGCTGCACCACATACCACGCACCGGCCACATCTCAATGTGCCACTAACCTGCAGCTGCTGGTACTCGAGGCGCGCAGAGGCCAGGTCGTGCGCGGCACGCGGCGGCGACTCCCGGCGCGCGGCACCGGCAAAGTAGCGCTCCGCGTGCTCGCGAGCTGCACCACACACCACGCACCGGCCACATCTCAATGTGCAACTAACCTGCAGCTGCTGGTACTCGAGGCGCGCAGAGGCCAGGTCGTGCGCGGCGCGCGGCGGCGAGCTCTCGGCTCGCCGCACCGGCGAGTACCGCTCCGCGTGCTCGCGAGCTGCACCACACACCACGCACCGGCCACATCTCAATGTGCAACTAACCTGCAGCTGCTGGTACTCGAGGCGCGCAGAGGCCAGGTCGTGCGCGGCGCGCGGCGGCGAGCTCTCGGCTCGCCGCACCGGCGAGTAGCGCTCCGCGTGCTCGCGAGCTGAACCACACACCACGCACCGGCCACATCTCAATGTGCAACTAACCTGCAGCTGCTGGTACTCGAGGCGCGCAGAGGCCAGGTCGTGCAGGCGCGCGGCGGCGAGCTCTCGGCGCGCCGCACCGGCGAGTAGCACTACGCGTGCTCGCGAGCTCGCGAGCTGCACCACACACCACGCACCGGCCACATCTCAATGTGCCACTAACTTGTAGCTGCTGGTACTCGAGGCGCGCAGAGGCCAGGTCGTGCGCGGCGCGCGGCAGCGAGCTCTCGGCGCGCCGCACCGGCGAGTAGCGCTCCGCGTGCTCGCGAGCTGCACCACACACCACGCACCGGCCACATCTCAATGTGCCACTTACCTGCAGCTGCTGGTACTCGAGGCGCGCAGAGGCCAGGTCATGCGCGGTGCGCGGCGGCGAGCTCTCGGCGCGCCGCACCGGTGAGTAGCGCTCCGCGTGCTCGCGAGCTGCACCACACACCACGCACCGGCCACATCTCAATGTGCCACTGACCTGCATCTGCTGGTACTCGAGGCGCGCAGAGGCCAGGCCGTACGCGGCGCGCGGCGGCGAGCTCTCGGCGCGCCGCACCGGCGAGTAGCGCTCCGCGTGCTCGCGAGCTGCACCACACACCACGCACCGGCCATATCTCAATGTGCCACTGACCTGCAGCTGCTGGTACTCGAGGCGCGCAGAGGCCAGGTCGTGCGCGGCGCGCTCTCGGCGCGCCGCACCGGCGAGTAGCGCTCCGCATGCTCGCGAGCTGCACCACACACCACGCACCAGCCACATCTCAATGTGCCACTGACCTGCAGCTGCTGGTACTCGAGGCGCGCAGAGGCCAGGTCGTGCGCGGCGCGCGGCGGCGAGCTCTCGGCGCGCCGCACCGGCGAGTAGCGCTCCGCGTGCTCGCGAGCTGCACCACACATCGTACCATTCTCAATCACATTCTATTTATATTTATCCTTAAACGTCTAAACTTTTTTCCTTAAATGTAACTTTTTATACGTGGTAAAACTACGGTGCAGCTACATTATGGTTGTAGCACAAATGGATCGGCTCGACCGAGGAGGACTATGCTCTGTCTGTGTGCTCGTTTATCCTATCTGTTATATACATTATCCTATAACAAACACCTTAAAAAAATACGTGTGGCACTCGGTGACTGCCGCGGTAAAGCTATTGCATAGCATTTTTATCAACTTATGCAATTATAATTATTTATTTATTTTATTTATGCAGTTAAGTCTTTGATATTAAATCAAGTTACACTTTTTGAGCGTGGTGACCGATAAGAAAACAATTTTTTTCTCTTATTGAATAAATGAGAAGTTAATATTGTTTAAAATATTTTTAATATCATACAATACATGTAGGTTATTCAGGAATTTTTATCATTGGGTTACCAGCTAGTGTACACGCATACGTCTAGTCGCACGCACACAAACACCGTGCCGAAGTCTGCCGAGTGCCGAAGTCTGCCGAACTGAAACGACGTTAGACGATGCACGGCTTTCAACGCCACACCTCCGTGGCCGTCGGAGTGGGGAGCGTGAGGTTTTTTCGTTACGAAATTTCTGGATTCGGTCCCCGCGCTCAGGGCCCGCGATAGAAGCTATGCAATAGCTTAACAAAGATTACATCTAGCTATCTTAAAGCCATTATTGCGTTCTCTGTCAGACAATACTGCGAGATAACGTCGGCTTTTACTTCTATCATCTAATTTTTTTACCCTTTTGTGTGAACTTATGAATATCAAAATCTCGAATTTCGTCTAAATAGTCTCATTAAAAACTTTATCCCTTGTTTTTAAATCGCTAAGAGTGGAGTGACTAATTTATATGTAACCAGCACTAAATATCATATAACCTATTTAAAAAAGAGTCACTACAATCGGTCCACATTATCATCATTACAGCCCTTCACAAGCTCACTGCTGAACATAGGCCTCCTCCAAGGAACGCCACAAAGCACGGTCCCGAGCTACCTGCATCCATGGACTTCCTGCAAGTTGTACCAGGTCGTCACTTCATATAGTGGAGGATCGTCCTACACTTCGACTACTGGTATGAGGCTGCCATTCGAGAACCTTTTTTCCCTATTGGTTGTCGGTTCTTCGAGCTATATGGCAGGCCCGAAACCACTTTACAACAATTTACAAGTCCCTTTGGCTATGTCAGTCACTCTAGTTCTACTGCGGATTTCCTCATTTCTAAGTTAATCACACATAGAAACCCCGAGCATAGTCCTCTCTATAGCTCGCTGACTTCCTCGTACGGTCAGCAGTGGACGATCCACAAATGACGAAGATATCGAGTAACATACATACAAAAAAGGACACGAATTGAGATCCCTCTAATTGATAATATTCGCATTTACTTACCAACAAATTTTAATATACATTCAATAATTATATTTATTACACTTATCAAATGTCTACAGCTGAACATAAACCTCCCCCATTGATTGCCTTATAGGGATATTTACTATAGTTTACCGCGCGTGAGTTTGATTTCCCTTTGTCGCCTCTTACGATATTACACGGCTATAGCAATATTTTTAATATAAACGTTTAAATGAAATAGGAAAAGTATTTCCGGACGGTATTATAAGACGGACATCGAGATAACAGTGATAGTTTCCAATTCCAATTCAAAAAAAAAAATCCCCTGGAAGAGTTATCACTCTACCAAGCTATTTCTAATTTGTCATGTGTTAATTGTAACATACATGATTGTAAACTGTTTGTTTTTTTTTTAAAGCCCCTCTGGGTTTTTTTTTAGTTCTTTCCAGGACAGAGGACTTTTCCTGAACCAATGGTAAATTAAAAAAGTGACTTTCAATAAGAATTATTCATAATATATATTGAATTAAAAAAAAATCTGTTTCTGTTTTTTCTTTTGTCTGCAAATGCGAGAAGATTTTAACAGGATAGGTAGTGTTTGTGTTTAGAAATGAAAATAATTTTTAATGACAAAATAAACCTAAAACTTCAAGATTTAATTAAAATAAGTTACAAAATTTTTGTAATTTGTTGATCTTTAAAAATCTAGCTCGAAGGAGCAAATTATACTGTTAAAAAAAAATCGAACAAAAAATGAATTTAGTTGCAAATACTATGTAACTCAGAAAAAAAAAAATAAAAAAAAAAAAAAAAAAAATTTATAAAATAAAAAAAAAAAAAAAAAAATTATCAGTGTCGTTACACCCGGAGGCGCACTTATTATTTTGCTTTTATTTTATTATTTTTTAATGTTTTTGTTAAATTAATGTTTTTATATTCTAAGAATGAAATAGAATACTATTTTATTCTTATGGTTATTGTAATAAAATACGAATATAAATAAATAAAACAAGTTAGGTAACAAAGAACGTTTCACTACGGCGCTTTGTTTTTATATACTAAATTACCCTACGGGTGAACGCCGCACGCGGCGACCTTTGATGTTGCAGCGGCGTCTTTGACAAGATGCGGCATGTGCCGAGGCGGCGCGACAAAAAGCCGAACAGACTATACCATTCGACAGCAAGAACACAAAATGCGTTACTAGGAGACGCAGTATGTTAAGAACGCGCACACATAAACACACACACACACACTCAGATGAACAAAACTTTTGGTAAAACACTAAAACTGAGCCAACTGTTATTGCGAAAACATTAAAAATACATGCACATCCAATCAAATTAAACAAATATTTGTGATGACAAAAATACAATAAGGAATAATAACCTTTAAAGACACAAGTCGACAGTCTAGACAAATCTTCTGTTTTCCCTGGGAGATTAAACAAAACTTAAAATAAAAATAACAAAAAATAAATTACCCATTTCCTGTACAGTAGCTAACATTTGAAGTTTGACTCTCTGCGGTCCCGAGTACTTCCGTTGACGGTTGTATTGTCCCGGAGTTGTCTGCACTTGACAAGGGGTGCCAGCCGTTATGGAGCCGCTCGGTATACCGGTTCCACTAACTGACCCGCTCACAGACCCGGACGCACCGGAACCACTCATCGGACCAGATATCCCAGACCCAGATCCACTTATCGAACCCATGCTTTGGCTTTGGTAGTTGCTGATCGGTGCCCCACTTGTTATTGAGCCCGCAATGTTTTGAGATTGGAAAGTATTGACTGGAGTCCCACTCGTTATGGATCCCGGGACATTTTGGCTTTGGAAATTGCTAATTGGGGTGCCACTTGTTATTGAACCCGGGACACTTTGATTTTGGAAGTTTGCAATTGGAGTTACGCTCGTTATAGATCCGAAGTTAGTGGTGTTATTGAAGTTAGGGTTGTTTACATTACTCGTGAAATTAGAAGGTGGGTTAATATTAGAGAAATTTGTGGCGGTGTTCATAAAACTGTAATCTGAACTGAATTTGTTTGTGTCATAGTTTGAATTTGAAATAGGGGTTCCACTCATTATAGAGCCCTGGGAGCTTTGGGCAAGTGAGCCGTGATTGGGGGAGAATGGCCCGGCAGGGGGAGTGTAGGGAGAGACTGCTTGATTGGACACCGGTGTTCCGGACACTATAGATCCTTTCCTACACATTATGCTCCCCTGTGGTATCGTTTCCAGGGAAGGTTTCATTTTCTGATTATTCTGAGTTTGGTTTGTGTAATTTGGAGTACCGGCCGTAATTGAGCCTTGATTCGGACTCTGTAATACATTTTGTGGTGGGTTCGTGCCAGTGGGTGTGGGTGGACTTTGGTACCCAGATTGGTTTTGGTACTGGTACCCTCCCTGTATCGATGGAGGCAAATAGTTCCTCTTCATTCGTGCCTCAACTTCCATAACCAGCTCTGGGCTTATAACTAAATGGTTGGGTGGTAAAAAAATAAAAATTAGCAAATAAAAATGCAAATCAATAAAACAGCACGTGCACTACTTAATTGCGGAATGCGGACATTAATTAACAGAAGTAAATGTCAAGAATTTGAAAAGTATTTTATTGCAATTACAAAAACGACAATGTTTACATTTTACAAGCCTTGACAGCTCTAATAGATTAAACTGAACAACAAAAAAACCTCAAGCTATTAATTAATATGTCTACAGGTGAATCCCTGTTATGCAATTACATAAAATAAACAGAGACTAGAACTTAAAGTGTAGTATTTTTGTTTTTATAGGACTAAGCCTGTGAGAGAATGAGATAGAATTCAGTGTACATTTGTTTTTATTATCTCGGTACCCTTTTGTGGTTTCACTTATACGCTTATATTTTTGGCTCTGTTATAATAATTATAATAAAGTCAAAAATATGAAAAAGGAATTATGCAATTATTGCATCTCAAGGATCACCTGACCTTGACGTGTCTAGTGCTACAAACAACACACTCGAACAAAATAACATTTCTACTCATAAAGTCCGACTACTTACCTGGAGGCCTTTCTGTTACTGTCAGAAGACCAGTCCTTCTCACTCTGATGTTGGCCGTTGAAGCGGGAGAGGTGCTTTGCTGTGGACATCAATGATTTTGTTTTAACTATGTCAGAGATAATGACTAAGATATTTAGATTTTGTATATATGCACAAATGCCTCATTGGTCTAGTGGACGTAATCGCGATTGCTGATAATAAGGTCCTGTGTTCGAAGCCCAGGTAAAATCAAAATCAGTTATTGAGTTTTTCTGTCAAGAAATTCTCAGTAGCAGCCTGGGCTCAGAAATATTGGTGTTTCGGCCCCGTGCCTCGGCAAGTACGTAAAGCCGTTGGTCCTGCGTCTGATCTCACTCTGGTCGCGTCGATTTACCGTCCCATCGGACTACAGAGTGAGGGAATAGAGAGCGCACCTGTGCTTGCGCATACAGCTGGGCACTATAATATTGTGCTGCGAAGATAGTTACTCTCTGTTGAGACTGGCCGTCGTGAACAAAATTTCGTCTGGAGGATATATTATATATATATATATATATATATATATATATATATATATATATATATATATATATATATATATACAACATACATACATACATAAACAATCACGCCTGTCACCCAGAGGGGTAGGCAGAGACTACAGACTTCCATTTAGCACGATCCTGACACACCTCTCTCGCCTCCTTCACATCCGTACACCTACGCATACATGCTCGTCGGTTAAGGGTACTCCCTAATTTGGCCCGTTTTCAATAAATCGCCAATTTGGTCGATAAATTTTCGCCTAGGACGTCCCTTTCCGACTCTGCCATTCACTTCTGCAACATAAATTTTCTTTGTCAGTCTTTCCTCATCCATTCTTTCCACATGACCAAACCACCGAAGCATTCCTTTCTTAATCTTGGTCACAACATCATCTTGCAAACCACACTCTTCTCTTATTACACAATTTCTTACCCTGTCGTTCAGATTCAGCCCTAACATACTCCTTAACGACCGCATTTCTACTGCGTTCATTCTACTCTCGTGCTTCTTCTGTCACACCCAACTTTCACTACCATACGTTAAAGTAGGGACCAACACAGCATTGTGAATTGCCATACGTGCCTTTTTTGACACATTTTGACTTCACAATAGAGTGCAGGGCCCCATTTACTCTATTTCCCGCATTCACTCTTCGTTCCATATCCTTATCATATCTCCCATCCCTGCTAAATACGCAACCCAAATATACAAACTCATCTACTTGCTCTATCAACTCCCCTTCTTTTTATTTCACAAAATTCTTTTTTTCTTTCAAAACAAAACTTCCCTCTCTCTCAAAAAAAAAAAAAAACCCGCGTCCGACCACTCTTTTTTTTTTTAAAAAAAAAAAAAAATTGTGGGTCACTCATCGGCAAAAACACTATCCTATCTCTCCAAGTTGGACCAAACTACACACGGTGTGCAAATTTGATTAAAATCGGTTAAGTAGTTTAGGAGTTTATCGCGGACAACGTAATATATATATATATATATATATATATATTAAGAATAAATAAGATAAGCAAGGTTACCATGGGTCCGGTGCAAGCATTGGACGTGGCAACATTGGCAGCATCTTCAGGTGTGGCCATCGTGTGTCGTTTACTGCTGCCACGGTTTAGCATGTACCTGAAACGCAGTAACAAATACCTCTATAAGAAAGGAAACTATATTTGACTTCAAAATACACACAATTTAAAAACAAGATAAGAAAGAAAATAACGAAAGTAGCGTATTATTTATTAATTAACTTTTTTGAACAAAAACCTTACTAACACTAGGATTTTCTCCTGTATCGTGGTATCGTGGTGGTAGTATATTAACATAAATTGCACAAGGACAAACATCCAGACCCGGAACAATTATTTGTAGGCCATACAAATACTTGTTCCGTGCGGGATTCGAACCCGTGGCCCCCAGCGCTCCAACTCAATGCTAAGCAAGTGCGCCACAAAACTCTATTTTATAACTCGAAATATAATTTAGAATCAACTGGAAGGCATGAAATAACACGCAAGCAAGTTCGTTAACCTGTATGCACCGTATGTATAAGTATTTAAGGTGCAACATTATCATAAATTTTTTTCGACAGATAGACACAAATTAATTTGTAATTAAGGAAGGAGGACTAAAATTGACCTTACGTGCATATTGCTAATGGTTTTTTCCTCGACTGCCCCAGGAGGAGAGTAATGTTTTTCGAGAGTTTGTATGTGTGTATGTCTATTTCTTTGGCGCGCTCTGTAGCCTACACGGCTTAATATATTTTAACATATGAGGTGTCGTTAAAGTAAAAGTAAAGTTACAGTCTACATACGTCCCACTGCTGGGCACAGGCCTCCGCTCATTTCTGAGAGGGTTTTAGGGCAAGGAATAGTCCGCCGCGCTGCCCCAATGCGTGTTGGCGAACTTCACCTGTCTTCAAAATATTATTTTTTTCTTTTTTCTCTGACATACAGGTTTCCTCACGATGTTTTCCTTCAACACCGAGCACGTGGTAAATCAACACTTAAAATTGCAATTAACAATTTCATTGGTGCCCGCGGGGATCGAACCCGCTTCGCTCGCGTACTGTGAAATTTACACCGAGAGCTAACCATCTGAGCTACCACGGAGGTGTCGTTAATTAGTCTTAATTGTGGGAGTGACATATGACATAATTGATTCCCCTTTTTAGTGAACTTTTGTAAACAGTCAGGGTTTGTTTAATTACTATTTTAACCATTAAACTTGTTACATTTACCTGCACAAATTAGTATTGTAAACGGAGTCGGTGGTCTGTTCCTCAGTCTGTTCTGGGTCATCCGCCCGCGCAGGGGTCCCGCTGTCTGACACCTAACGATGGGAATGATATTTTAAGAAACGATTTCATAAGTTTAGAGATTTGTAACAGATTTCAGATTTGTATTTCTCGTAAAATTAAAGACCATCTTGTTTCTTTTTAAGTTACATTTTCCCACAGGCACTCAGCGAGCGATGGAGAAAGGGGTTTACTTAGTTTCTTTGGTAGATAGAATTCACGTTAAGTTAAGACAAAAATTAATAGTGTAATGTCATGTGATGGGATCGAACCTAATTTGGTAGCCAATGTATTCATTGAAACATTTATTTTATATTTTTATATCAAAATAAGTAACTTTTTATTTATAAATTTGTATGGAAGATATCTGTAAGTATAGGAGAAAGAAGCGTATAAGTGTGTGGGCGAGCCGAATGAAAGAATTAGTGAACGTAATAGTAGCGAACATAATATCATTATTTTAAATGCTATTACAGTGATTTAGTGTACATATATTTGTCATGGTACGTGCCTGTTTACGTGTGCGTGTATGTGTGCAGTTACGTGTTCATGTGCCTGAACGTGTACGTGTGCGAGTACGTGTTTAAGTGCGTGTACGTGTACGTACGAGAACGTGTTTATGTTCGTTAGGGCACGTGTGCGTGTACGTTTACTTGTGCGAGCGTGTATGGGAGCATGTGCGTGTACATGTTGGTGTACGTGTGCGAGTATGTGTTAAAGTGCGCGAATGGGCGCGTGTGCGTCTACGTACGTGGTGCGCGGGCGCTTAGCGGCAGCAAGCGCACTCAGCGTCACGCGGCACGTGCGTGTGCGTGTTCATGTACGTATGCGTGTGTGTGCGCGTGTTCATGTACGTGTGGGTGTGTGTGTACGTACGTGGTGCGCGGGCGCGGAGCGGCAGCAGGCGCGCTCGGAGCCACGCGGCACGTGCGCGCAGCCGTCCGACGCACGTCGCCCGAAAGACGACGCTGCAACATAGCAACATTATTATTAATAATACGCCTTCACCGTGTAGTGACGGTGTAAGAATATCCACTACCCCAATCACCTCTTAGATATCCGTAAGAGGCGACAAAGATGAACAACAACAACAACTTAAAATAATAACAACTGCGTTTGCCAATCCACCTGCCAAGCGTGGCAAGTATGGTAAAATTCCAGCGGACTTTAATAGACTCAGTGGACTTAAATTAAGTGCCGTGTAGTGGCGGTTGAGAATATCCACTACCCCATATCTTCCCGTGGGTGTCGTAAGAAGCGACAGAGGGAGACAGGCAGGAGATGGGCAGCAGCATCTTCCTGATAACAACTGTGTTATAATAAAAAACTGCGGTTGCCAACCCGCTCACCAAGCGTGGCAACTATCGCAAATATCCCCCCATGAATAACGACGCAAAAAACGGCCACCAGTCCCCGGCGGCCCCGCTATTCCTGGCTACGGTGGCGACCATGGTAATGGCGGGGCAGGGGGTGCTAAGAATTTCCGGTGGAGGTTCGGTTGCCACCTACGACGACTCGACCTGGCAACATATAACGCACGCACCCTGAGGACTGACGAGAAGATACTGGAGCTGGAAGAAGAGGTAGACAAGTTGCGCTGGCATATTATTGGATTATCCGAGGTCCGAAGAGAGGGGGGAGGATACGGCAATCCTCGAGTCCGGCAACTTGTTCTACCACCGGGAGGGCGACCATCTGTCCCAAGGAGGTGTCGGATGTATCGTCCACAAGTCTCTCGTCAACAACGTTGTAAAGATTGGGAGTGTGTCGACGAGGGTCGCGTACCTGATACTCAGAATCACCAAACGGTATTCGCTGAAGGTCATACAGATTTACGCACCAACCTCGGCACATCCCGATGAGGAGGTGGAGGAAATGTATGAGGATATTTCCAGAGCCATGCATTCCTCCAAAACCCACTACACGGTGTTGATGGGAGACTTCAACGCAAAACTAGGCACAAGAGAAAGCGGTGAGCTGAAGGTGGGGAAATTTGGAGTGGGGCAACGAAACCGAAGGGGCCAGCAGCTGGCCTACTTTATGGAGAAAGAGGGACTCTTTATGATGGACTCTTTATGATGAACTCTTTCTTCCAGAAGCGGCCCCACAGGAAGTGGAGCTGGTCGAGCCCCGACGGTTCGACAAAAAGGAGTTTGACTTCATTATGACGACCAGACGCCAACTGTTCAGTGATGTCTCAGTGATCGCAAGGGTGAAAACTGGCAGCGATCACCGAATGGTTAGAGGCACACTGAACCTAAACGTTAAGTTGGAGAGGTCTCGTCTAATGAAGTCAACGCTCCGTCCCCCTCGTGCTCTAATCCAGAATCCCGAAACCTTTCAGCTCGAGCTACAAAACCGCTTTCAGTGCCTAGAGGATTGCAATGCAGTGGACGATATGAATGACAAGCTCGTGGAAACTGTCCATGCGGTCGGAGCTAAGTTCTGCAAGACCCGCCGCAGAAGAACACAAAAACTCTCCGATCACACTCTTAATCTCATGGCTGTTAGACGGGAGATGAGGCTGCAATCGTCAACAGATTTGACAGCATACAGGCAACTGAACAGACAGATCTCCAAATGCATGCGGCGAGACTTACCCAACTTTAATACGGCTCGTATTAAAGAAGCGATCGAGCGGAACCAGGGCTCCAAAGTCTTTGCCAGAGATCTGTCTGCCAGAAAGAGCCAACTGTCAAAGTTGAAGACTGAGTGTGGCAACATCGTTTCCGGGACACCTCAGATGCTGAGTGAGATTGAGAGGTTCTATGGGCAGCTGTACACATCATCGTTGGAGCCACACGCAAGTGTGAGTAACGATACAAGAGCAAGTCTTATCCGACACTATTCCGATGATATCCCGGACGTCAGTCTGAGCGAGATTAGAATGGCTCTCCACCACCTTAAAAACGGCAACGCCCCGGGCTAGGATTGAATTACAGCGGAGCTTCTGAAAGCGGGTGGAACGCCGGTACTTGTAGTCCTTCAGAAGCTCTTCAATTCCGTCCTCCATGGTGGCACTACTCCGGAGGCGTGGAGCAGAAGCGCGGTGGTCTTGTTCTTTAACAAAGGCGACAACGCTCTCTTGAAGAACTGCAGACCGATTTCCCTTCTGAGCCGCGTCTACGTGCTGTTTTCGAGAGTCATTACGAATCGTCTCGCACGCAGACTCGACGACTTCCAGCCTCCCGAACAAGCCGGTTTCCGAAAAGGCTTCAGTACCATAGACCACATACATACCCTTCGGCAAATTGTACAGAAGTCCGAAGAGTACAATCTGCCACTTTGCCTGGCGTATGTGGACTATGAGAAAGCCTTTGATTCCGTCGAAATTTGGGCGGTGCTACAGTCTCTTCAGCGGTGCCTAGTTGACTGTCGGTATATTGAAGTGCTGAAGTGTTTGTACAGTAGGGCTACGATGGCTATCCGAGTACAGAACCAGAGTACGAAACCTATCCAACTGCAGAGAGGTGTAAGACAGGATGATCCCCGAAACTCTTCACCGCTGCGTTGGAAGACGTTTTCAAGCTACTGGACTGGAAAGGATACGGTATTAACATCAATGGCGCGTACATCACTCACCTTCGATTTGCCGACGATATAGTCCTTAAGGCAGAATCGCTGGAGGACCTTAGCACTATGCTCAATGACCTCAATGGTGTCTCCTAACGGATAGGTCTTAAGATGAACATGGACAAAACAAAGATCATGTTTAATGTCCATGTCACACCTATGCCGGTAGTTGTTGGGAGCACTATGCTCGAAATTGTTGACGAGTACGTTTACCTGGGACAAATAGTCCGACTAGGTAAGTCCAACTTCGACCGAGAGGTCAATCGACGGATTCAACTCGGCTGGGTAGCGTTCGGGAAATTACGACACATCTTCTCGTCAGGTATACCTCAATCTCTGAAAACTAAAGTGTATAACCAGTGCGTGTTGCCAGTGATGACTTACGGATCTGAGACGTGGTCCTTCACCGCTGGCCGTATGAGGACGCACAAGGTCGCTCAGCGAGCTATGGAGAGGGCTATGCTCGGAGTTTCACTGCGTGATAGACTCAGAAATGAGGATATCCGCAGTGAAACCAGAGTGACCGACATAGCCCGACGGATTAGTAAGCTGAAGTGGCAATGGGCCGGCCATATAGCTCGAAGAACCGATAACCGTTGGGGAAGAAAGGTTCTCGAGTGGCAGCCTCGTACCGGTAGGCGTAGTGTAGGGCGACCCCCCACTAGATGGAGTGACGAACTGGTGAGACATGCAGGAAGTCGATGGATGCAGGTGGCTCAGGACCGTGCTTTGTGGCATTACTTGGGGGAGGCCTATGTTCAGCAGTGGACTTGTGAAGGGCTGTAATGATGATGATGATGATGAGTGGACTTTAATCAACTTCACGTTTAGAGGTCTTAGAAAGCCGTTCCGACTGTGTGTGTGTGCGTGCGTGTGTGTGTGTGTGTGTGTGTGTGTGTGTGGTGTCTGTGCACGCGTGTGTGCGTGTGTGTGCGTGCGCGCGCGTGTGTGTGTGTGCGTATGTGTTTGTGTGCGCTCGAAAATAAGCGGGAAGTTCCAGATATAGCCTGCAGGGTCAACCTATTTTCAGATTTTTTCTAATAGAATGAGGGTAACAATCAAGCACACAGCGCCAGATGGTTTGAGATGTGTATTGTTAGATGTGTGGTGTGGTGAGGTATTATACGTCTGCATGGCGAGCGGCAACTTGTGTGCAAGGGCTGGTCCTTGAGTTGAAGTAGCGCGGCAGCAACGACTGGTAATGCGCGGCGGGCAGCTTGGCCGCCAGGTAGTATTGTGTTGTGTGTGATGTGTTGCGAGGTACCGTGCATCTGCATGGCGTGCGGCCGCTTGAGCAGGTGCTGGTCCTTGACGCTGAAGTAGCGCGTCGGCTGGTGCTGCACGGCGGGCGGCTTGGCCGCCAGGTTGTGTTGTGTTGTGTGTGATGTGTTGCGAGGTACCGTGCATCTGCATGGCGTGCGGCCGCTTGAGCAGGTGCTGGTCCTTGACGCTGAAATAGCGCGGCGGCTGGTGCTGCACGGCGGGCGGCTTGGTCGCCAGGTGGTGTTGTGTTGTGTGTGATGTGTTGCGAGGTACCGTACGTCTGCATGGCGTGCGGCTGCTTGAGCAGGTGCTGGTCCTTGACGCTGAAGTAGTACGACAGCTGGTGCTGCACGGCGGGCAGCTTGGCCGCCAGGTAGTGTTGCGTTGTATGTGATGTGTTGCGAGGTACCGTGCGTCAGCAAGGCGTGCGGCGGCTTGAGCAGCTGCTGGTCGTTGACGCTGAAGTAGTGCGACCGCTGGTGCTGCACGGCGGGCAGCTTGGCCGCCAGGTGGTGTTGTGTTGTGTGTGATGTGTTGAGAGGTACCGTGCGTCTGCATTGCGTGCGGCGGCTTGAGCAGGTGCTGGTCTTTGACTCTGAAGTAACACGGCAACTGGTGCTGCACGGCGGGCGGTTTGGCCGCCAGGTGGTGTTGTGTTGTGTGTGATGTGTTGCGAGGTACCGTGCGTCTGCATGGCGTGCGGCGGCTTGAGTAGGTGCTGGTTTTTGACGCTTAAGTAGCGCGGCGGCTGGTGCTGCACGGCGGGCAACTTGGCCGTCAGGTGGTGTTATGGTTTGTGATGTGTTGTGAGGTACCGTGGGTCTGCATGGCATGCGGCGGCTTGAGCAGGTGCTGGTCTTTGACGCTGAAGTAGCGCGGCGGCTGGTGCTGCACGGCGGGCAGCTTCGCCGCCAGGTTGGTGTGCGGCAGGAGCGACACGCGCGCTGCACACGCCCCCTCCATCGCCCCCCGCTGCCCCCACTCCCGACGCCTGTCGTTTATTTATTTATTTTAATTTTATTGCATTCAACTTATTGTTACGAGCTTGAGGTTCGTGACAATAAAAATTGCCGATAAAATTACCTAAATTAACACTTTAATTTTCTTTACACAAAAAAATTAAAACTTAAAACACTAATAATTAAGCACACTAATTCACTTTATTTCGCTCCGAAGCTTCGCTTGTCTCGCCAAATTCAATACTTCCCCGATCGCGTGTTGCAGCGCCTTTATATGGGGCTCTTCCACGAATAATTCCAGAATATTCCAGTAAATACGAAGCGACAGTAGCCTAATGGCAGGGCGCGGATCGCGAACTCAAAAGGTCGTGGGTTCGAATCCGCCATTTGACTACTGTCGTGAACCACTCCTAACACAAGCATTTTCAAGCTTACCAGGAGTGGTTAAAAGTAATATTAGTAATTTATTTATTTATTTTATTCTTTATTGCATCCTTAAACAAAAGAATACAAAGGGCGGACTTAATGCCTTGAGGCATTCTCTACCAGTCAACCCATTATAGTCAAGTAATGTTAATTAATAAGATAATACTAATATTTAAAAAAAATACGCGCGCCAACCGACCAAGCGCAGAAAGTTCGAGTGTGCGGCTTCCAGAAAGCTTAATTCTTCTGTTCGATACTAGATGGCGCTGTTGGTTGAAAGACTAGTCATGTATTTTCTGGAAAGCTCTCCTCGCTCTGTTGCCCGATACCAGATGGCGCTAGTGCCATCGTCTTATTCGCGCAACATTATGCATTGTCTCAATCTATGCATTGGTGTAAAATTCGACGTAAACGTATTCTACGTACGTCAATTTAAACAAAAACACAATACTAGGTCAAAGTGTATTTTGATAAAACATAGTTTAGCAGCTATCATAGTTTAGTTTATCTATAATTACAATCATTAGCAATCATTAGTTATAATATCTAAGTTAACGTAATTTATTACAAATTTTGACTTGCGATACCCTTCACCTCATGATTTTTTGTTTTGTATAAACGATAGTTAAATATAAGTCATACTTACATCAAAATGATCTTCACAGGAGAATAGTCTAGTTTTTGTAGACAACGTATTCGGGTATCTTCTTGCTAGTTTTAACCAAGTATTTCTTATATTTAAATCAGTTGGCACTTGAACCCATAACTTTCCGAATTTCTTATGCTAGTATTTTTGCATTCGGGCACAGCACAACAATGATATAGATGATAACTCATTGTTAAAAATTAAAAAGTATCTTATTCCTTTGCAAAATCGGCAATATTCTAGGACAGTGACGTCACGAGTTGAACAGCATGGCGGCTAGAGTTTTCAAGCGAAAAATTAAAACGAGATTAAAATTAATTTTATGGCACTATTCGGTTTAAAAAAATATGTAAAAATTATAGTGGTTCATTATCACTCTAGGATTCATTTAAAACACTTTTTTGAAAATGGGTGTAATACCAGCCCATTGCTACCTTCAAATATATCAATAAAATTGCAGCGTTCTGCCTGTACTATTGAAATAACTGGCTTCTCTTAAGCTAAGAAGGTCGTTTGCATACTATTAACGTATAAAGAAAACATTTTTAAAAATTTTGTCCGTCTGTATGTAGGTCTGGGCTAATCTCCGCAACGCCTGAACCGATTGTCCTGAAACTTTATGAACGGATAGAAAGCAATGCCAAAATTAAAGTTTTTATTTTATTTATAAGATCATGCTTAATAGGTAACATATTCAAGTCTTAAGGTGGCTCAAGTCGCGGGCTCGAACTCATTGGTGGGCGCGGCCAAAAAGCACGTTGTCTCACCTGGCATCGTGCCCGACAGAGATAGTACCAGTGAAGAGCAGTTAGAACGCACGTCTTGTTCGTACGGCGTTCCGAACCGTTAGAACAAAAACGAAGTTACACGAACACGATGCACACATACATACCACCCTATTCTGTGCCGCTCGACGCTTGCTGAGAAATCAGCAGTACCTACCTACAAACTCGTACTAAATTATTAGGCACTGCGCTACGTTATCGCTTTATACTATACCTCTATGGCTCTATAGATACCTAATATATGTAGATTGCTTATTTTATTATGTTTTGTTTTCCCCCGGGTGGTCATGCAGCGATCACTCAAGAGTTCACGACGCCGAAGCATGAACTGGAGAACAGTCATCGCAATTTATATCCGTACTAGCTGTTGCCAGCGGCTTCAAACGCGTGAACTCGAAAATTATCCCACAGGAACGAAATACCTGAATAAACGGTATAAAAAAATGTGTTATTCCAGACCAGGTATAACCTATCTCTGAGCTAAATATCATCCAGATCCCTTCAGCTGTTCTGGCGTGATTGAGTAACATACATCTATCCATCCAAACTTTCGCATTTATAATATTTAGATAATAATTTTAATTAGTTCTGCCTACCTATAAATTGTTTTCAAAAATACTTACCTGTCTTCTTACTTTTTTTATATACACACAATATCACTAGATGTAAACACATGTTTTTATCAAGACAAGTGACCCGTCAAGACCGTTTCCTTAGTACCGACGTACTTAGATAGGTAGTAGTAGGCATGCAAAAACGATTACTACTGAAAAACTAAATAGGTACCTACCTAACATTCAAATAAAAATATTCTCAAAAAGCTCAACCAATTCAGAATTTAATTTTGTTATAAGAAAATTGGTCAAATAAAAAATAAAGGATGAAAATAAAGCATATGGGAATATAAAAATAAATCGTATTTATTTGTTATTTCGAGTTTTACAAGAAAAGCATAATATTTACTGGAGAGAATTATTTTATTATTATAATAGTACATGATATTCCCTTTAAAATGACACCAATATGAATAATATCTTATATCTATATCTACAAATAAATAAAATTTAAGTGTCTGTTTGTAATGTTAAAATAACAGCTTTTTATTAAATGCATATGAAAGTACTAGTAACAAAAACACATTTTTTAAAATTTCAAACACCACAATCTCTAATTTTTTACTCTGCTATCTTCAGCGCTGTACACGAACGGAACGATGTCGTTGAGAGCCGTGGTAGCTTACATGGTTAGCGCTCGTTATAGGTATCACAGTACGGGAGCAACCCGGGTTCGATCCCCACTGGCACCAATGAAATTGTTGCGTGCTGATTTAGCTATCAGTTGGAAAGTCTGTTTTTCTGGGCCGTTTTGTTTTGTTGTTGTGGTTGTGGTTGTCGGTTGCTTATTTTTTATTTTTCTTTAAAATTTTCGTCGGTAAAATAACATATTTATAAAAGTAAAGTTACAGCCTATATACGTCCCACTGCTGGGCACAGGCCTCCTCTAATTTCTGAGAGGGTTTTAAGGCAAGGAAATGTCCGCCACGCTGCCTCAATGCGTGTTGACGAACTTCACATTTCTTCGAAATATATATTTTTTAATTTCTCAGACATGCAGACCCGAGTTCGATCCCCGCCGGTATCAATGAAATTGTTAATTGCAATTGTGCTGATTTACCACGTGCTCGGCGGTGAAGGAAAACATATTGAGAAAACCTGCACGTCTGAGAATTATAATCGAATGTGAATCAAATTGACATAGGTAAGTACAGATAAAATTAGCGGAACATTAATAAAATTTTGAGATCGTTTTTTTTTTCAAAATTTTATTTATATATTCCTCTATTTTTGTCTGTGCTTATATCAACTTGATTTAATCCAAAGTTCAAGCAGGGGTCAATGTAGCGTAGTAATTTAGAGCGCAGGTATAGCTATAGTCATACGAACGTCACAGGCCGCAGCTGACTGAGTTGAATAAAACTAGAATAAGCGCGCGTCACCGCGCATGCATGTGTGTGTAAGTGTCGTCCTCCCGCACCGCACCGAGGGTAAAATTATTCAGTGAGATGCACGATAATTCATATAAACACCGCGCGTAAAAAAATACGAAAAGGCCTTTGGAAGGAGGGGTTTTATGAAAAACCCACTGCATGAATCAATTACCAATAAAATTTATTGAATTCTTCGATAATTGAGCTGTGTCGGTACCGACTTTGTTATGGAAATTTTACACTGCTTTTATTACTAATTTACGCCCAAAGTTGTGTTAAAATTGGCAATAAAAACGAATCTTTGGTAGCTCGTAACTTTTTACTGACTTTTTATTTTACTATTCTGTTTCGGTACAGACAAAATTAATAATGAGACAAAACGATATCATGTTTAACTTTGGATGTACACTGTCAAACAGCGGAGTAAAACCCCTCCGAAATTTCTATGGAAATAATGTCGACTAGAGTCACCTTAAATCTAAATGGTGGCATTGTTATATAATGAAATATAAATATTCTTTTTCCATAATCTTGTCCGTTGTTGCTAACCCTAAAGTTAGTTTAATCATAAAAAATTTCCCGTGATCCCCCAAAGCCGCGTATATTTATATAATATGGCACATATTGTATAATTAGGCATGAAATGTTGTATTACAAATATCGGTTGAAACGCATGGGCTGAATATCATTCAGGCGTTTAGTTGTTTCGGTTACTTTTTCATATTAAATTCTTTTGAACTAAAATCAGTTTTTATTTATGCTTGACATGGTCAAGTTACAATGCAAATTAAACATATGTATAATGTGACTGAATGTCGGCCGCCGTACTGCACTACATCAATCAGGCTTATCGTTCACCAGCCGTTATACGAAACGGCTGTGTTTTGTAAAACGGCTAGCCATAATGTAATACGGCGAATTATACAATATGCCTGCAACTTATATACAAATGTAAACTTGTGAAAGTATATAAATATTATTGATATTATTATATATTTACACATAAAAACATGATATTTAGTTCTTTGGAGAAGACATCTAAATATATTATACATCAAAAAGTATACATACATTGAAGTGTGCGGAGACGCACAGCGGTGCAGCTCGCAGATCTGTCGAGGCCGCGCCGCACCCGGATAAGTCACTCGTCTGTGAGATCATCATTCTCAAAACGTTAAACAGTTCATTCCATTATGAAGTTGAAGCGACAGTAGCCTAATGGCAGATTGCGGACCTCCAACTCAAAAGTTCGTGTCCATTCTAGTCTTTGAAAATAACCGCTTAATGTTGCTGCGTTTCGTATGGTGAGTGTAGAGAACCGAAGGCCTTTTTAAAGAAAACGAAGCATAACGCACCTGCGTTTCTATTCTTATTAGGTTTTATTAGTTACCGTCTATATACATCCCACTGCTGGGCACAGGCCTCCCGCTTATTTCTGAGAGGGTTTTAGGGCAAGGAATTGTCCGCCGCGCTGCCCCAATCAATGCGTGTTGACAAACTTCACAACGTTTCTATTCTTAATTGAAGATAAATCTAAATATCTATGGGCCACAGCGACTGCGAGATCTTTTTCTATATGAAAGAAGTGAATAAATCCTAACACAAGCATTTTACGCTTACTAAGAGTTAAAGGGAATATTATATAGTAATTATTTTATGAAAAATAAAGCATTGCCATATGTTTCATTAAAAAAAAAATAACGTAGTTGTAGTGGCTCAGCGTTTGCTGAGGATTTCACTGGCACTAATAAGATTGATAATTGCAATTTTAAGTGTTTTTTCCTTATCATGTGCTCGGTGGTGAAGGAAATGGAAGCATTGCATATCTGAAAATTAAAAAAAATGTATTGTGGACTTGTTTATAACGTCAACACATATTGGTGTATCGTGCCGGACATTTCTCTAAAATTTGCCATTTTTCTAAGACCCTTCCAGGATTTCAGCGGTGGTGTAAATTTTCTACCCCATAACTCCCCCAGAAATGAAGCTACAGTCTAGCTATGTATCGAGATTTGTCAATTAATAAGATTGAAAATTATCTATGTGATTGTATGATTAACATGAGACACTTTTTACTCGATACGAGGCGTTTCTTCTGAAGTGATAACGAATCTACCATTTGTATTTCGATTCTTAATAGAGTATATATGTAGGTATTTATGGGCCACAGTAACCATTTATCATTAGGTGAATGTGTGCTCGTTTAATATTCTTATTTTATATAAAAAAATATATGTTCGGTGCCTTTAATAATAATAAACCATTACTAATGTATACTTTATTTGAAAGTAAAGACATTAGTTTGAATATCAATCTCTATCTATTAGCTATGTGAACGAACTAATTAATAATATTAATACATTAATGAATTAATTATTGAATATTTGAATAAATGCCATTATATATTCGAATTAAAACAAATATTTTTCGAAAGCGTCGGGCCATCATCACTTTTGTCAATATGTAAAATGGATAGTTAAAAATAACTACAGAAATAATTGAGTGAAATAATGAGTGAGTGGAAAAATGAGTAAGTGAAAGAATGAGTGATTGAAGGAGTGAGCGAGCGAAGGCGTGAAAGTGTGAGTGAAGGAGAGAGTGAGTTGAAGAGGGAGTGAGTTGGGGAGAAGTGGAGTGAGTGAGTGGGGGATTGAGAAGTGGAGGAGTTAGTGAGTGGAGGAGAGTGAGTAGTGGAGTGAGAAGTTGAGGAGTTTGTGAGTGTAGGAGAGATTGACTGGAGGGAGTACGAAGTGAAGCGAGTGGGGGAGTGAGAAGTGGAGGAGCAAGTGAGTGATGGAGTGGGGGAGTGAGGGAGTGGGGGAATTGAGTGAGTGAAGGTGTGTGTTGAGGAGTGAGTGGGGGAGTGAGCAGTGGAGGAGTTAGTGAATGGAGGAAGAGTGATGGAGTGAGTGGAGGAGTCAGTGAGTGGTTGGGGCAGTGAGAGGAGCGTGAGTGGTTGAGTCAGTGAGTGGGGACTGAGTGGTTGAGTTGGGAAGTGAATGGAGGAGGGAGTGAGTGAGTGGAGGAGTGAGTGAGTAGATGCGTGCTCACCGGCGCATGGCGGCAGGCACCGGGCCCGACGGTGTGGCGGCGCGCGGCGGGCGGCGGCGCAACGCGCCTCTCCTCAGCCACGGGCACGCCACGCTCCCCGAACTGCGCACCAGACAACACTCGTTAGCGACCCCTTATATTATCATATTGTCTTCCATCCTTTACACCCTATTAAACACCACTGCTGAACATAGGACTCTACCGTAGCTGCTAGAGCTACGGTAGAGTCCTATGTTCAGTCGTAATTAGATTTTTTTAAATAAGTAAGTAAAAAAGCAACTGTCTTAAATGAAAATACAACTGCGCGGCATATTTACCGAGCCAGCTACAGCTACGATATTAGTGGCTCTGTTCAAACGTACCATACTCATGAAATTAATAATGACTCGTTGACAATTTTAAATTACGCGAAACGTTGAATTTTATGAACAATTTAAATAGCAATGGCATCTTTGTGCCAAAAACTGCCAAATACTTCCTTAAAAATACATATACATAAACACTCACGCCTGTCACCCATAGGGGTAGGCAGAGACTACGGACTTCCATTTGGCACGATCCTGACATACCTCTTTCGCCTCCTTTACATACATATATCTACGCATACATGCTCGTCGGTTAAGGGTACTTCTAACGTGGCCCATTTTCAAAATATCGCCAATTTGGTCGATAAACTTTTTTCTAGGGCGTCCCTTCCCAAATCGGCCGTCACATCTGCTATATAAATTCCTTAAAAATACTCAAACTAAGATATTAAATTAGTATTTATTTAACTCCAAACCTTTTCTAAATTATCATCTCTGTCCATTAGGTAGTCGACGGACTCACAAGGTATGGACACAAGACATTCCTGAGAACTCGATTCCTCTGCCTCCATTTGCTCCTCTTCAGTATTCTGGAAAAACACATTTTTTTAACTTAAATGACAAACGAACTAACTGTCCACCTGATGGTAAGTGACTACAGCATTCTATGGACATTTCTAGTCAACTTCAAAGAACAAAAGCTACAGACGCGATGTCACCTCTGAGGACTAAGATGGAATGTCTTACAGCTTTTTTCTATAGAATAAGGGTGACAAAACGAGCACACAGTCCACCTGATGGTAAGTGGATGTTGCGGCCCATAGACATCTAGATTTATCCTCGATTAAGAATCAAAACGCAGATACGTTGTCACCCGTGAGGACTAAGATGGAATGCCTTGTTTCCAGTAAAAAAGGGTCTCCGAATCTCTACACTCATCATACGAAACACAACAATGTTATGCTGCTATTTTACGCTGGTATTCTGTGAGAGCGTGGTAATTCCCAGGGGAGTGGCAGGTGTATAGCCGGCCTTTTAAAAAGGAGTAAGCTCTTTTCTTTAAGGTCCCTAATTCGTATCGGTCCGGAAATCGCTGTTGGTAAACCATTCCACAGAGAGGTCATTCGCGGAAGAAAACTCCTAGTGAAACGTTCAGTGGTGTATCGCCAAGCATCTAGATGGCGTGAATGGTATCGGGAGTTTTGCCGTGTAGTGCGTTCATCAAATTTGGCGGCTGGGATTAATCCGAACAATTCCTCAGAGCACTCCCCGTGGTAGATGCGAAAGAAAATGCAAAGAGATACTCTTCGCAGCGCCAGTGAATCGAGTCGATCGGAAAGCACTCTGTCGCTCTGCGCGGAATGCGGTCAAGTGGAAGGAGCTGGCACTGGGAAGCCCCAGCCCAGAGATGGGAACAGTATTCCAAGTGCGGCCAAACCTGCGCCTTGTAAAGTTGCAGGCGGTGTGCCGGCATGAAATACTGTCCCGCTCTGCTGAGCACGCAAAGCTCTTTAGAAGCCAACTTGGCCATCTCTTCCAAGTGACCACAAAACTGAACGTCACTCGATGTGTCGACGCTGAGGATTCCGATACTGGCTTAAGCAACAAGGGGAGTGCCTTAAAACTGAGGAGATACGACAAAGGGGTTCTTTTTAGCGGTAAACGCGCAAACTTACGTCTTCCGAGGGTTAAACTGGACTAGATTTTGTCGCCCCCAATCCGAGACTTTGTTCAACAAGGACTCGACTTCAGACACAAGTTTGCCCCGGTACTGGGAGACATAATATTAAAATATGAAATATAGTATAAGATACAATGATAACAATAATAAGGCCTGATGATTTAAACTCTAAATACTGATTCATGGCCAACAGTTTAACAATATTTTTTATTTACCTTACAGCTAGTGAGATCCAACGGTTGACTTGTATTTGAGTCCAGGGAATCTGAAAAAATTTGCACAAGTATGAGAACTAATAGTGAAGGATTTCTTTCTTAAGAAAAACGTTAAGCCCTCTTGATACCCGTAACAATTATTGAAACCTCATACAAATAATTCTTTCATGTGGAATTTGAACTCACGGCCCGCAGCCACAGTGCTGCTGAGCTTATATATATATCATCATCATCATCATTACAGCCCTTCACAAGTCCACTGCTGAACGTAGGCCTCCCCCAAGAAATGCCACAAAGCACGATCCTGAGCCACCTGTATCCATCGACTTCCTTCATGTCTTATCAGGTCGTCACTCTATCTAGTGGGGGGTCGCCCTACACTACGCCTACCGGTATGAGGCTGCCACTCGAGAACCTTTCTTCCCCGTCGGTTATCGGTTCTTCGAGCTATATGGCCGGCCCATTGCCACTTCAGCTTACTAATCCGTTGGGCTATATCGATCACTCTGGTTTTACTGCGGATATCCTCATTTCTGAGTCTATCGTGCAGAGAAACTCCGAGCATAGCCCTCTCCTTACTTGTTGAGCCTGACGTCTTCATACGGCCAGCAGTGAAGGACCACGTCTCGGATCCGTAAGTAATCACTGGCATCACGCACTGCTTGTACACTTTAGTTTTCAAAGATTGAGGTATTCCTGACGAGAAGATGTGTCATAATTTCCCGAACGCTGCCCAGCCGAGTTGAATCCGTCGATTGACCTCTCGGTCGAAGTTAGACTTACCTAGTCGGACTATTAGTCCCAGGTAAACATACTCGTCAACAATTATTATAGCTTATATATATGTATATTCTTAATTGTTTATGTTGTACAAATTGGCCAAGCAATTGTCTGAGCTTTGACCAAACAAAACTTTGAAACTTGCCAATTGTTTAAAGAGGTTTTTTTTGCAAATTCTTGATTTTATCGTTTATAAAAGCTTTCTAAAGGCCTAAATTTAATAGTTTTGACTTTGACTTTATAAATACGTCATCATGTACTTCTTTACCAGCCTGTAGTCTACTTTCAGAATTTAAGATTTGCCTTAATTACCAAGTTCATCGGTCCAGTTTGGTTTGATGTAGTTCTTGCACCTTTGATGCAGCTACATGTTTACGTCGGGAATGAACTATATGGTTAAACTTTTTTTAACACTCTCATAGTCACTTCTTACGACATTCATGGGACGATATTTACACATAGTAGAGCCACGCTGCAGCTATATTGGTTAATGTGTCGGTTCGCCCGGGATAGGACCACGCTCTTACAGAATTACAACGTGGATTAGCAGCTAATGCTGCTGTGTTTCGTGTGGTGAGGGTAATTAATTTTTACCGGAAACGAGGCAATCCATTCTCAGGGGCGACATGGCATCTGCGTTTTGACTCCTAATCGAGGATAGATGTCTATGGGCCATGGCATGCACTTGTGGACTGTGTGCTCGTTTGTCATCCTTATAAAATAAAGAAATTGATGGATTCCGTTACGTCATCTCCACACCCCTTAAATTCACCATGTTATTTTTATATAATTAAGATATTTTTTATAGAATAAGGGTGACAAACGAGCACACAGACCACCAGATGGTAAGTGGATTCAGCGGCTCATGACATCTACATTTATCCTCGATTAAGAATCAAAACGCAGATGCGTTGTCACCCCTGAGTACTGTCAGCTTTTCTCCAATAAACCACGACAACTTACTTAGTTAACTGTTTAATCACTATGTTCGATGTTTAATTTCACTATTAAATTGTATATAATACTTTATAACACACTATACTTTACTTTTACAAAGAAGACTATATATTAATTTACCTTACTCACAACCTTTAGAATCACCCCATTTCACAATAGACTCTACTATTATAACCTTCTCTGCACCACTGTTCGTAATCAACTGCCAGAAGCGTCAAGTGTACGCGCTTTTATACTGTGACTCAATTTTAGAATTAATGTAGGTAGTTTGAAATGGATTCATATTAATATTAATTGTGAAGATTGCTAAGTAATATTGCATAATGATCACTTATCTAACACTAGACCAATTCAATAATGGCTCACTTTCTTATATCTAATGAATGCCGTTGCACATACCGGCCTTAAAGCGTAATAATTATTCATATCTTCATGCATCATCTATTATGTCTTATTCATAAAGATTATATCCAACAGAAGTGTATTATCAAATTCAAATTCATTTATTTGCCATATCATATAATAATATAAATTACCATTGTATTTTTCACTCGTATGTTTGTATTGTATTACTACTTTTAATATATCTCTTCCTCTATAATATATCATTATTATAGAACAATTATGATGCAACTAAAACTACATATCTTAAAGGGACAATAATTTAGAACACGGATGCATTAATCGGAATTCTACTCTGAGTCACTGGAGATTGGATCATTTTGGAATACTAACCAAGGGTGTATTTTATCTACTGGATAAACTCCGATGTATGCCGCTTTACCTTCCTTTTTAGTAATCGGTGTGTCTTGAACCTCATATCGATCATGACTCAGAATTTTTGTTATTCTGTATGGCCCGGAACATTTCGGAACCAACTTTCTGGTATGTCCCGGCGCCGTATATACGTATTTCTCTATACGAACAAGATCTATTTCATTGAATAAAACTAAATTTACGGATTTTATCGCGTTTATTTCACTACTTTTACTTATTTTTAATTCCCGACGTTTCGGGTGTTTACAGCTTTTAATATAATAACATGCCTGCTGAATATGCAGTATTACTCAAACACTGCCTCACATCTGGCTATCTATTGCGGAAGGAAGAGTTCTACAAGCAAGTGTGGCGATGGGCTCACCTGTATCTCCCATAGTCGCTGACATATTCGTGGAGGACTTCGAGGAGAAAGCCCTTCTTACTGCTCCTGTTAATCCAAGATTCTACAAGCGGTACGTAGACGACACTTTCACAATTTTACCATCTGACAAAATAACTGCATTTTTAAACCACCTTAACTCTATAAACTCTAAAATACAATTCACAATGGAGTTAGAGCAAATAATTCTTTAGCTTTCTTAGATGTTTTAGTCATTCGAAATCCTAATAACCAAGACATACCAACGAAATCCTAATACAATTGGTCACACTGTGTATAGAAAAAAGACCCATACCAACCGATATTTAAATGGTGAATCTCACCATCATCCTTCACAGTTAGCTACCGTGGGTAAATCTTTGTTTCAGAGAGCACGAGGGATCTGTGACAGAAAACATCTGGCCGCCGAACTTCATCACGTCAAGCAAGTATTGCAAGACAACAAGCTTCGGGTCCCGCGCCTACGTCACAGTGACCGAGTGAAGCCGGCCACAGTCGAGCGTGTACCTGCTGTACTACCATATGTCAGAGGAGTCACAGACAAGGTTGGCTACATCTTGAAGCGAGCTTCTATTAAAACATACTACAAGCCGCCGAAGAAGATTAGTCAATTTTTACCATCCGTCAAGTGTAATATCACTCTACAAGATGCAGGAGTGTACAAGTTAGATTGTGAATGTGGTCTCTCTTACATAGGTCAAACAAAAAGATCCATAAAAACCCGCGTGAAAGAACATATAGCTGACGTGAAGCACCGACGCTCCGGGAAGTCTGCAGTCTGCGAACATGTTCAAGATCGTCCCCACCATTACATTCGTTTTGATAAACCACAAATTCTCGCAAAAGAACACCGATTCGTACCAAGGATGATACGCGAGGCTATTGAAATTAAAAAACATCCAAATTTCAATAGAGAAGATGGATGGGTGCTGCCACCTGCTTGGGATCCTATAATTAACAAAATTAAACCCAAACCTAAGCGTACCAATGCAAGACTTCATGATACTATAAGCTCGTTTTGCGTAAATCGGACCAAAAATTAATATTCAAAAACTGAAGGTAGCCGGACTAACATTGGGACGTCAAACATCTCAGTACCCCCGTGACCATGGTTGCTGTAAAGCACCCGAAACGTCGGGAATTAAAAAATAAGTACAAGTAGTGAAATAAACGCGATAAAATCCGTAAATTTAGTTTTATTCAATGTGTAGTGTTCGCGTAAATTTAAGACATCATTAAGATCTATTTCATATTGCCTAGCTTCTTTTCTCGTTTTATAAAACCTGGTCTCTTGCTTAAGTTGTTCAGAAGAAATTCGTTGTTCAATGTCATTGCGAATTTCATCTCGGTTTTGAAGTTGCTGAGATTCGGCCACTACACTGTTCATAACGCTATCGCAACTTCCCGTAGGAACTACCCCAAATAAAGTCTCAGCAGGAGTTTTCCCAGTGCCTTTGATAATTGTGTTCAACGACCATTGCACTTTAAACAATACGGTATCTCATTGATTTTCAGGATATCCATGATTAGCAGAAGCGAATGATTCTATGAGAGTTTTATTATATCGTTCGACCTGACCCCATTACATATTTGCTAAATTCATTACTAGTGAAGCTGGTACCGCGATCTGTAATTAACCGCCGCGGCACCCCAAATAATGCAAAGTATTCTTCAAAAATTTGGATACTCATTTTACTTCTACAATCACGGACAGTTTTAAGATATGTTATTTTGTAAAAGAATCAATAATTGCCAATATATATTGATTCCTCTTTTTGCTTAACGGGAATGGCCCGCAACGGTCCGCATGTATGGTGTCAAATGGTTTGCTTACCTTTTCAATACGCATGTATGGTGTCAAATGGTTTGCTTACCTTTTCAATAGGATGAAGCATTCCTTCCCTTGGTCCGGCTGGAATTTTATTATGAGCACATTCTAGATGAGCCTTGCAATATATTTTTAGTGAACTTTCTCATATTTTTGAACCAGTAGATCCTTTTTGTATGTTCGTATGTCTTTTTAAACCCAAAATGACCGTTATTGTCATTATTCATTTTTAGTATTTACCATCTTACAGACTTGGGAACCACTCAGAGTAATGTTACAGTATCGTTCTTTTTGACGATTCTATAAAGCTTTCCATTTTTAATGTAAAATTATTCCTAATTTCAACAACATGCTCGCTTCAAAAAGTGCATAATATATTGTGTTACGTCTTCAACAGGATTTTACCCTCTAAAATGAGTTATCAAACCTTAAGAGTTAATAACAATTGCCAACCAGTGGTAAATGAAAAAATTGACTTTCAATAAGTATTGTTTATAATCTACATTGAATAAAAAAGTTTCTGTTTCTGTTTCAAATAAAATAAATGGAAAAATTACAAATACAGTGTAAACTATTTACAAATTTGAAATATAGGACGTTATATTTTAATTAGGTTTTCGTTCAAAATTGCTTTTGTTATAAATAGGCGTTTTCCAGTGAATTGCAGTATGACAAAGCATTTCGAAAAGGCCTAATTTATTATCAATTAAGCGAACTCGTGATCTTTTTAAATTTAATAATAGAAAACATATTAGCATTTTTAAGTACATTTAAAGAGTCCAGTATAACACGAAGAAGTCAAATATTATTAACATAATTTGAAACTACATGTTTCCTCATCATATGATCATAGTCACGTGATACAAGAGTTTCTGAACAAAACAAAACGGAGGTACACCGACACCTGATGAAATTTCGTTATGTATTAGATTCAAATTTTGGTTTGATTATTGTATAATAGATAACTTTTGTAAAGAGAAATAAAAAATATCTATGTAAAATTAATATATTAGGTAGGCACATGAATATATGAATTTCAATAAATATTAAATGTATATTAAGTACGTCTTAATAATTGAATATAATGAGCGTATAATGGTAAATTGGTAAATTGACCGAAAAAGTTTATTATTGAGGAACAGTTATACTATAAAGTCTAACACTGGTTGGTTAAATAACTATGACAAACTTTTACTTTTAATTTTCTAAATTTAAAAATTAAATCCCTCTGGAATAGGTGCGTTTGGCAGAAAAAAGTGCTAGCAAGCGCTTACAAGCGCTGAAATAGTTTTCGGCCAGGACACGATTGCTACTTCAGTAGCGCTGACACAATCCGCCATTTTGCTTATTTAATTTGTTTGTTTTGAAGTAGAGTTTAAGTTTTTTTTGTGCAATATTAGTTTTAAGTAATATAATGACATGAATAGACATATACATGTTGTTAAAAATTCATGATTGGTAAGTTTTTAATATGAATACTTTACAAACATATATTTAAATTAGGTTAGGTTCCCCGGTTAAAACTAACTTCGTGTCCTGGAGGAAAATAGCTACTTACGATTTGACAGCGCTTACCGCTTACGATCGCCATTTTGCTTACAAGCGCTTGCTAGCACTTTTTTCTGCCAAACGCACCCAATATTTATATGAACTTTTCGCTCTCACTTTTTGTATCCACCATTCAATGATTTGGCCATCAACAAAAGGATCAAATTCTGGTATAACATTAAAATTTGCCGTTATATTATTAGACCACATTTGTCCTCCAATAGGAGTAACAGGAACAGCCATCGAGCTGCTTGTCAAACCTGAAGTAACTGGTGGTTCCATAACATAAGGTAGGGAGGGATCGAGGGTTCACACTTGTAACGTTATGAGGCATAACATTTAAGTTAATCCTTATCTGTGGTGACACTGTTCGAACCCTGGGCAACGGCAGAGTTCTTATTGAAACGCTTCTTTTACAATTTCTACCTCGAGATAGATGGTCATTACCATGTCGAGATTTATGATGATCGTGGTGTCGACAACGGGTTGATGGGGACCGTTTATGTTTTTGCCTACCATGGCGTCTTTGCTTACTACGACGATCAGGAGTACTAGAGCTATAAGAATTGATTGATGTTGACGAGCTTCCATAACGTTTACGAGCATGATTACGTCGCTTACGTGGCGACCCCACAATATAAGTTTATAACCAACCGACAAACCCAAAAATTTAATTGTTAAAAATTAAGGATATTTTTCACTTGTGTCTACTAAACTAACGGTAACAAATTAAAGGAAGAGAAATATTTATAGTTACAAATATTATAGTTATAATCTTATGATACTTTAGATGTTATGATAGCAAAGATATTGCAATTTCACTTTATAGGTTTTATGATAACAAGCTGTGAAATTATATTTAAGCAATCTTAGTAAAAAGGATTAAATTTACCTTAATCTAATCGAATTGTTTCAATCACGCCTAATATTTTTTTTTCACTTAGTCAAATCGTATTCAGTGTTAGTGTATTATGTCAAATACTGTATACACTATATGTGGCAGCTCGAAGATTAAAACAGATTGCCACTTATGGGATTAACACAGACACAGGATGTATTCAAATTTATTACGAATTATTAAAGACGAATACAAGTCACTGACCTTGGTTCATAGTAAACTCACTTTAGCAGCGTTCTTTGCGTATACTCCAAATCGACTTTAAGACAGGATGTCTTGCGATTACTTGTGCGTTGTTTCATCCCACTTCTGAATTTGTCAGCTTTTCTCCAATAAACCACAACTCACTTAGTTAACTGTTTAATCACTATGTTAGTTGTTTAATTTCACTCTTAAATTGTATATAATACTTTATAACACACTATACTTTACTTTTACAAAGAAGACTATATATTAATTTAACTTTACTCACAACCTTTAGAACCACCTTATTTCACAATAGACTCGACTATTATAACCTTCTCTGCACCACTGTTCGTAATCAACTGCCAGGAGCGTCAAGTGTACGCGCTTTTATACTGCGCCTCAATTTTAGAATTAATGTAGGTAGTTTGAAATGGATTCATATTAATATTAATTGCGAAGATTGCTAAGTAATATTGCATAATGATCACTTATCTAACAGTACTAAGATGGAATGCCTCGTTTCCAGTAAAAAAGGGTCTCCGGATCTCTACACTCACCATACGAAACACAGCAGTATTAAGCTGCTAAGTTATTAAACAAATTGATTTTAAACTATGCAAAGCTCTCACCGCGATGTTGCAGACTGTTCCTTGCGGTCGAACGCTGCTCCAACTTGTCCATGAGCAGGTGATATATGGCTGATATGTGATCGAAACGCTCCTCTTGCACACACTGTAAATATTTTTCATCGTTAATCGAAGAAAAGCCTACAAAAGTACAATAATTGCGCAATGTTAATGTCATACAATTTTATTGAAAAATACCCTGTGTCGCGAACGCGAACTTAACATAAACAGAATTAAAGTTGCTAAGAGGGCAACACTAGTTGACAGAGAGTGAGGAGAGAGTACATATTATTAACAGGATGAAGTGGCTGTTCGATGGAGATACTGTTCTCTAACGAGATTTTAATATTAATTAATAATGATTTTTTTTAAATGTCAATACTGAACCTATGTATATATGTCCCATTCCGGTAACACAGAGTTTGTTATATACATTGTAAAATAGTGTTGGCAACCCTAGGTAAGAGAGCTACGCAGCCGGACTAGTACATATAAAGTATATCCACCCAGCAAGAGGTAAGAGTGTATGAATACCTGCAAAACGAGGTCTCTCGTGAGGCCGGGCAGCGCCAGCATGTGCGCCAGCACGGTGGCCTGCAGCGGCTGCAGCTCTGCACCGGGAGCTGCTGGAGCTGCAGCATCCGCACCACTCGCAGATCTGCGTTCCCGCACGTGACACGTGCACACGCCTTCTGACGCGTCTAGAACAACACACTCACTTCTCAATATACAAGCCAGTTACATGAATACTATTACCGTTACAGTCTATTAGGCAAGCCTACTATAACCCACCAAAGTTTTATATCTGGTATATCCGTATGGTATGTCGTGGTATATCTGGTCGAGCAGTGAGAAATGTGTGGTGTGTGGCAGGTGCATGGTTCATGGGTGCGTGGTGTGTCGTTTGAATCACGTAGTGTGCAGTGCGTAGTGTATATGTCATGTAGTGTGCATTGCGTACTGTAGGTGTCCTGTAGTGTGCAGTGCGTAGTGTATGTAGCTTGTAGTGTGCTTTGCGTAGTGTAGATATCATGTACTGTGCAGTACGTAGTGTATGTGTTATGTAGTGTGCATTGCGTAGTGTAGGTGTCATGTAGTGTGCAGTGCGTAGTGTATGTGGCTTGTAGTGTGCCGTGCGTAGTGTGTGCGTGTGTAGTGTATGTGCCTGTGTGCCGTGCGTAGTGTGTGCGTGTGTGTTCGTGTGTATGTGTGTGTGTGCGTGTGTGTGTGTGTGTGTGTGTGTGTGTGAGAGAGAGAGAGAGTGTGTGTGTGTGGAGAGAGAGAGAGTGTGTGTGTGTGTGTGTGTGTGTTTGTGTGTGTGTGTACGTGGCTGCCCTTACCGGCACCGGGGCCGGGGCCGGGCTGGTGGGCAGCGAGCCACCGGTGACGCGCGACTCCTCGCAGCGAAAGCCGCTTCTCAGGCTCCACCACCAGCATGTGCCGGATCAGGTGCTCGCACTCTGCAACCCATCAAGCACACCATCACCCAACACATTTTTATCAACATTTAAAACATTCAGGGTTATTTTTCAGAGTAACCAAATTTTAAACTTAAGTTCAAATATATAAATAATGATTTCAGTTTTTAAAATACGAGTAAATATGGCTTTTGCTTTTATATGAAATTATCCCAAATTGAATGTAATTTATGGCCAACAACAACAACCCAAAAAAAAAAAAATTTTTTTCCCCCCCCCCCCAACAACAAAAAGAAGTTAAAACCCTTTTAATTATAAAAACATTAAAACGCAAAGAGTAAATCTAACGAATAAATTCGATAAGTACATGGAAAAATGCGACTAAAGCCGCAAAAAATAATTTGTGACGTTTATGGACCTATTGCAATGTCAGTAAGTGTAGCACAAAGTTGGTTCAAGCGTTTACAGTACCGGAATTTTGATGTCAAAGATGCAGCTCGCTCTGGTCGCCCTCATACGGATAAAGTCGACGCCAATTTTGGAAAAGTGGAGCAAGATCGGCACATTAGTAATTACGACATACCTCAGGGAATTGAGGATTGACCACAAAACAGTTTTGACCCATTTGAATAAGTCTGGCTTATACAAAAAGCTCGATATTTGGGTACCACACCAGCTCACTGAAAGAAACCAAATGAATCTTGTACTCATTTCCCATTTTCGAAAATATTGATCACTGTTGATGAAAAATGGATCATCTACGACAAGGACATGCAAAAAAGATCATGGTCAAAGGGTAGTTAAATTCCAAATGCTGTGTGTATGGTGGGATTGCAAGGGCATCGTTTATTATGAGCTTTTACTGCCAGGAAAACCATCGATTCGGATCTCTACTGCCAACAAATAATGACACTCAAGCAAGAAATTAAGAAAAAACGCCGGAATTGATCAACAAAAAAGAAAAGGACTGGTCTTTTATCATCATAACACCCGACCACACATATATTTGCCCACTTAGCAAAAATTGGGAGAGCTTGGTTAGGAAATGGAAGGAAGGAAGGAGGTTAAATATTATATAAATTTCATAAAGGGAAAATTAAATTGTTAGGAAAATATAAAGTTTGATGTTTCTTTCTGAAATAATAGCTGTATTTTATATTGATTATATTAAAAAGGTAAAACAAATTACGGATATTCCTGGAAGTAAAAGAATTAAAGTGAGAGTTAAATATGCACAATAAAATTAAAGAGCAACGACTTGGACATTGTTTTATATATATAGGATTATACACCAGAAACCGAAAAAATTATATTAGCAACGCAAATTTTTACTTATAATGACACTGTGACAATTATCTTCACCTCAGTTCCATTAGCGACATCTAGTGAACGGTAAATTATTAGCTCTCGTTGTAAGGCCGGGATACATATTGTAGGGTATTTATTTTTTGTTTTCAAATGCCCATAAAAGTAGTAAAATATTATCTAATGACGACGATAGAGCTGAAGATTGTCAGTAAATCCAATTATGGTCTCGAATTTGAATAGTAATGAAGTTGCTTTTAATCTGATATGTAGTATAAAGCGGGGGCGTAGATACTAATGCTGTCGCTCTGTTCGTTCTTGCTTCAGTAGCGAGTGATTGACGAAAGGTTATGTGTATGTTGGCACAGGCTGCTGTAAGCGCCATCTGTTATCTTAAAGAAACCACCCTGGTTAGAGAACATTCCATTTTATTGTATATTTTTGTTTTGTTCCTATCCGCGATATTTACCTTATATTGCTGTACTACGTCGTATTCTCTTAGCATTCGCTTTTATATTTTGTAAACCTAATCAGACTAAGTCCATATATATTTCAAAATTATTACACGTTATATTATAATAAATTAACACCAAATGTCTCTCACTCAACTTACAATAAATATTTTGAATTTCAGTTGAACAGTGCAAGCAATAGGCTTATTTGCACAATCATGTTTGGAGTAAGTGACTGCCCATACCCCATATGCCTATGTTTGAATCCCGGGTCAGGCCAAAAATCAGTTATTGGGTTTTTCTGTCAAAAAAATCTAGAAAAGTAGAAGCCTGGAGTTAGGAAGTAAAAGATGTTTCACTCCCATACCTCGGAAAACTTACGTGCTTTCCGAGCCGTTGATCCTTAGCCTGATCTCTCTCCAGTCGTGTCGGATTATAGTCTTATCGGACTCTAAGAGTGAAGAAATAGAAAGTCCACTTGCGCTTGCGCATACACTCGTGCACTATAATCCTGTTCTGCGCAGATAGCTAATCTCCGTGATGCTGGGCACCTTGACCTAAATTAGGTTAGGAGGATCCATCTTTCGGAACTGATGACACGTTATATGCTCGAGGGTTGGGGTCCCCACTAACCTTGCGACATGAAGTATGGTATCCGGAACTTTCCGCTGAGCACGACACTGCGTAGCTCGTGCAGCGTGCCGCCGTCAAACGGCAGTGCACCACACACCAGCACGTACAGCACTACACCCAGCGACTGTAAACATTCAAGTGTAACAAACAATCACAAAGTCCACCTGATGGTAAGTCGATATTCCGATTCACAGACTGCATCTTTCCTTTATTAAGAATCAAAATGCAGAAACGTTACCACTTGCACATCCCTGAGGACCAAGATGGATTACGTCGTTTCCAGTAACAAGGGTGTCCCGTTCTCTACACTTACCATACGAAACACACCAACATTGAGCTACTATTTCATTCTAATATTTTTTTATAGATTAAGGGTGACAAACGAGCACACTCCTCCTGATGGTACGAGGATGCTGTGGCCTGTACCACTCATTGGCCCCACCGTTACGGGACGCACTTCATTGGCACCTTTCATATATAACAGTTGCCATCTATAAGAACTAAGATGGAATGTCTCATTTCCACTAAAAAGAGTCTCCAGATCTCTACACTCACCATACGAAACACGCCAACATTGGGCTGTTATTTTACGCTGGTATTTTTATAGAATAAGGGTGATAAACCAACACACAGTTCTTTCAAACCTGAACACATTTGTAACCAGACGAAATCTACATTTTATTTTAAAATCCATTCGAAAGACATTACATTAATTCGCTAAAGAATTTACAGCCATGTTGTGGATGATATTTAATGTATGAAATGGCCACGTACCCATATGTCGGCCTTGGGCCCGTCGTACTGACGGCCCTCGAACAGTTCTGGTGCAGCATAAGGCGGACTACCACACCAAGTAGCTAGCGGAGCACCTGCACTGTACTCGTTGCTGAACCCGAAGTCTGCCAGCTGTAAAACCACCTACAATGTCAATATGTGGACGTGGGTCTGGGTCTGTCTAGCTTCTGGACAAGACCGAAATACCAATTTCAGCAAGATGGTAGTCCAGCGCATTGGACTAACGTGCGAGAACAGTTAAATAATTGTTTCCCAGATAACTGGATCGGCAGAGACGGACCCATCTCTTGGCCATCTTGATTGCCTGATTTAACTCCTGAGGAATTTTCGTTTGGGGACGGGCCAAAGAGGAATATCTATCAACCAGAGAGGAGTTATTAGGAAGAATCCTTACGGCTTTTGAACTTATTTTACTTTACAGCAGTACCAGAGAGCTGCAACTGTATTATTACAGAAATACAGCTCTAGCACTGCTGCTTGTCGGCAAAGAGTTAAGAGAGTACCCAGCCGGACTTATAGACGGAAAAGAAGTCCCACATCCTATTAAGTATATAACCATACCCTTTTTGTGGATTTGCTATTTTATCTAAGCTGGACAGAGTAAGTCATATATTTATTCATCTGTTACAGCCAAAAGTCCACGGCTTCTCCTACAGATTGCCTCATAGGGAGGGCCTTTGCCATACTTGTCAGACTTAGCAGGCAGGTTGCCAACCTCAATTTTATTATTTTGTATAGTTACCAAGAAAATACCGCTTGCCCCACTTCCTGTTTGAGTTCCCTCTGTGAGTTAGTTGATTCTAAGTTATTCTTCCATAATTATTATTCCAAAAACACAAACTTTAAGCTTTGTACAACACACCTTCCCCGTTCACGCCTTACACATTATTCCTCTAGAGACTCTAAAAGTGTGCAACTGCACACAGTTCTCTCCCGCTGTACCGAGAATTTGTCTTAATCATCTCAAACCTATGGCACTGCTCTATGTCTTCGGTCTGGGTATTTTTACGTCATTTATAGAAAACCATGAGTTAATTAATAGAATCAGGCGTTACTTTGCCGAAATCCATTATACTAAAGATATTAATAGTTGCGGATGGTTGCAAAGTAACTATTAATATCTTAGGGCCATGAGTTGTATGATAGATGGATGCTGTGGCCTATAGACACACACATTTATTGCAAATTTTAAACCGAAAGAAAATTAACGTGTTGCGCTTGCTACTAAGCTTAATGCGGGTATTTAACTTAGACTTTCAGCTCATAATATAGTCTGTAAACCGCAGTAGAGTTTTTTTTACTGCCTTGTTGGTCAAAAACATAACACTTCTTTGGCAGCTGGGAAAGAAAAAAAAAGAAAAAAGAGCCACCACCCCACCCCCGCAAAATTTTCGGAAGAATGTTGTGGTCACAGTATAAATCCACGAACGAAGACTTTAACGCTCTTATAATAACGTTCATTTTTCTTTATTTTGTATTGAATGACGGCATTTGTATTAATACAAATAAAACTGCACTTTAAGTCTTATCGCCTTGAGTTACGGTCCATTTCAAATTGTGTTGACTGTATAGGTTTAGTGTGACTGTAAATTACGTAGTGTTAATTATTTTTGGGATAAAAAAATTAACATCTATATTAAAAATGACAGAAATCGATTCATTAAACGATACTGAACAAACTCCTTTCAGGATGTGCGTTAATTATGTTACATACTGTATAATTGTAGCGTGGCGTGGCCACGTAGAAAATTTGTCGTAGAATAAATATTTACCGGAATCTATGAGATTTAAGAAAATAGTTTACTTGTAGTGAAACGTCTTACAAAAATTATAGAAAATTTTGTAGAGTAAATTCTGAATATCCCAATATCATCCCGTGGGTGTCGGGGAAAACTGAAACAGAAGATGGGCAGTAGTATCTTTCTGCTAAAAACCCAAAATAATAAAAAAACTACGTTCGCCAACGGGCCCACCCGCAAAATCCCCTTTTGAGAGAATCTAAAGAGGAGAAGCAGTGCACTTTTAAAGGCTGTAATGGATGTAAATCCTACAGGGCAATAAAGCTTTATAAATATGTAAGACGGTCAATGGCCTATCTCTCTTTCTTTTTCTTTCTCTCTTCCTCCCTCTCTATCTATCTTCTGTCTATATTTTCGATAATAATTACAAATCAAATTAGAAATAACTTGGTAGCGATAACCTCATTTCCAGGGGTTTATACTTAATTAATAACATTTTTTAAATTTGGCGAAATTCAGATTTTGTGTTGTTATACAAACATTATGGTGCAGGGTCAAACCTTGATGTTCATGTCACGGTCCAGCAGTAGGTTCTCGGCCTTGAGGTCCCTGTGCACGACGCCTCGCGAGTGGCAGTATCCCACCGCGGCGACCATCTGTGCAAACGCGCGTGCCGCCTCAGCCTCCGGCATGCGGCCTTTGGACACCAAGTGGTCTGCGGACAACATCATATACAACGTCAGCTCAACGATTATAATCATCAAGAACTAAAGCTGAGCATCAAAATAACTGATTGACAATTGAAATTGCGGACAACATCATATAATCTAAGATCAATGCTTTGTAAGTGGTAATCACGCTGCAGCTACGAGTATATTATAGTTCTAGCATGAATGGGTCGGCTCGACCGGGGTAGGACCACGCTCTCACAGAATACCTGCGTAAAATAGCAGTTAAATGCTGCTGTGTTTCGTATGATGAGTGCAAAGAATCGGAGACCCGTTTTACTGGAAACGATCTTAATCCTCAGGTGTGACTACGCAACTGTATTTTGATTCTTAATCGAGGATAAATATAGATGTCTATGGGCCATTATCAGGTGGACTGTGTGTCACCATTACTCTATAAAAAAATCATTATTGCAACCCTTCACACGTCCGCTGCTAAACATAGGCCTCCCCAAGGAACGCCACAAAACACAGTCCTGAACCAGCTGCATCAACTTCCTGCATATTTTATCGGGTCGTCACTCCATTTAGGGGGGAGGGGGAAGTATTAACCAAGTAGGTGTTCAAAACACATTTTTAACACAAAAGCGTAAATGTGTCATTTTGTTTTACTTGTGTGCGAAACAATGTAAAAACAAGAGATTATTGTTATGAGCGGTCAACATATGAAGAGTATCATAATTTCTCAGAAGATTTGGATTTCATTGTCTTTTCTGGTGTATAAAGATAGATAGAGGATAGATGTCTATTAGATGTCTATGGGTCACAGCAACCACTTACTCAGGTGGAATGTGTGCTCGTTTGTTGCCTTTATCCTATAAAAAACTCGACTTGACGATGGGGTGATGTGTGCTGTAAAAGTCTTCTTCGAGTCCCAGAATCAAGCCATTACTTCCAAAGGAATTAACCAACTTGCAAAACGCTATTCAAGGTGTATTAGCTTAAAAGAGGATTGAAAAACAAACACAATTTACATATACTTATCCTAGAGTTTCATTGCATTTCCAAAAACTTATTGACCAACTAGTATACTATATAAAAAATCAATTGCCGTGTTTCGCAAAAACTCGATGATGGTCTGACCAATTTTGTGTGTGTTTAGCTGGGTCCCTGGATGGTTAAAATTCACAATTGAACCCAGTAGGTTGCGCTGTCGTCGAGATCCAGAAATCACCCGCGCGAAGCCGGGGCGGATCATAACCAGCTAAGACTAAGAACTGGTGTAGCAAATCACACACGCTGAACACGTCTTTGGTGTCTACATCATCATTGTTACAGACTTTGTGACTGATGAACATGGGCCTCCCCCATGGATTGCCTCGAAACAGGAGGATATTTGCCATAGTTGCCACGATATTTGCCGTAGGAGAGCGGGAGATGCCCTTCAAACTAGGTAAGACACGTCATATTATTTTTACGCGGATCTTAGCCCATTGAGTTTTTTAAAATCGTTTCCACGCTTGGCATAAGGTTTGGCAACAGTAGTTGTTTATTATTTTGGATTTTTATTTGGGAAATACTGCTGCCCATCTCCTGTTTCAGTTCCCTTTGCCGCCTCTTACGACATTCACGTGATGATATGGGGTAGTAGTTTCTCTTACTTACAGTTTAGAGCCGTGGTAGCTCAGATGGTTAACGCTCGCTGTAAATATAACAGAACGCGAGTAACCCGGGTTCGAACCCCGCCGGCACCAATGAAATTGTTAATTGCAATTTTAAGTGCTGATTTACCACGTGCTCGGCGGTGAAGGAAAACATCGTGAGGAAACCTGCATGTCTGAGGAATAAGAAAAAAAAATTTCGAAGACATGTGAAGTTCGCCAACACGCATTGGGGCAGCGCGGCGGACACTCCTTGCCCTGAAACCCCCTCAGAAATGAGGGGAGGCCTGTGCCCAGCAGTGGGACGTATATATGTTGTAACTTTACTTTACTTTAATCGGCAGTTTGTATTGTCACGATCCTCAAGCTCGTAACAGTAGATTTGTGCAAAATAACGCCTGATTCAATGTATTGAGTGGTGAAATGTATATGGAGAGAGATGCTTTGGATATGAACTGAACATAATGCGTGCTCTACCACTAACCAATCGGAACGGCAATCAGGCAAACTCCTTACCAAATATTTCTCCGTTAGGAGCGTACTCTGTGACTAGGTATATTGTGTGTGCACTCTCCATCACCTGGAAACGAAAGGCTTGCGTTACAATTATAATACAAAATAATGCTATATTATGATCTTTGATTTTATTTTACTTTAATATTCTATGAGCCATGTTGTGATGGAAGATGGAACAGAAACGGTCCCGTCTGTAATCCCTGAGGGAGTACAAAGACCAGCGAGGTACTCGGACCACGTTTAGAGAAGAAAACAATTGGGTTTAGATGGAAAATTGCGCATGAGTAGTAAACACATCACCTACACAATCACAAATCCAATATCCCATTAGTCACCTTTTACTACATGCTAGGGAAGTAACAGTTGGCACATTCTTTTTTGTTATCATGTTGCATCATAACGTGGGACCCATATAAGTCCCAGACCAATATAAGACATATACTCACAGAATACCAGCGTAAAATAGCAGCTTAATGCTGCTGTGTTTCGCATGGTGAGTGTAGAGAACCGGAGACACGTTTTACTGGAATCAAGGCATTCCATCTTATTCCTCACGGGTGACAACGCATCTGCATTTTGATTCTTAATCGAGGTTAAATGTAGATGTCTATGGGCCACAGCATCCCCTCAGTCCCACATCAGGTGGACTGTGTGCTCGTTTGCCACCCTAATTCTATAAAAAAATATAAAAGCTCTATATCAAAGATAAGATATAATATGGTTTTCTAGATTGACAAGGGTATCTTACGGAATAGACTCATGGCTGGTGCAGACACACCGGTGCAGTGTAGCAGTGTTACGAATAGAAAGTGTTTTTTAACTAATTAGGTAATTAGTATAGATTATATATAATACTTACAAGTTATTGTTATGTTTAATTTACCATCTTCAAGAGAATACCTCTGTTCTGGGAAGAACTAGCATGCAACCCAACGGAAATATTTTTAATAAAGGGGGAGAGGGCACACAAATGCTAGTTGATAGTTATTTTGAGATCCGAAAGGTGGCTCAATTATTAAGTAGTCAAATTATTAACAAATTAAATTATATCAATCATTTCAGCGTGATTATATGAGAAACACTCTCCAGCCCATAAAAGTTCACTGCTGAACATAGGCCTCCCCCACAGATTGCCTCATAGGGGGGATTTGACCATAATTGCCACGCTTGGTAGTTGGGTGGACAACCGCAGTTTTATAATATTTTGAATTGTTATCAAGAAGACGCTGGTGCTCATATTCTGTTTCAGATTCCCACGGTCGCCTCTCACGACACCCGCGGGACGATATGGGGTAGTGGATATTCTTACAACACCACTACACGGTTCACATTTATAATATTAAATAGGATTACCTGATATAACCGGACTATGTGGGGGTGCCGCAATTTCTTCATAATGGCTATCTCACGAAACGTCTTCTTTAAATTATCCTCGTCTAGACGCGCTTTGTCTATTATTTTGATGGCAACCTGTAACCAAGCAACGTAGGCATTTAATCAGACTTCAATTCTGCGTGACAATAGAAGGGTGTCCATCTCTCTTTCATCTCGTGGGTGTCGTAAGAGACGACAATAGAAAATGCCAGAAAGATATTTTAGATTCCAATTGATAGCAGTACATACATCTCTGCGTCGTTATTCAGGAAGTCGATGGATGCAGGTGGCTCAGGAACGTGCTTTATGGCATTACTTGGGGGAGGCCTATGTTCAGCAGTGGACTTGTGAAGGGCTGTAATGATGATGATGATGATGACATACATCTCGTTTATGCCAGGCGTAGAAAACAGACAGCAGTGTCAAATGTACAAAACGTCTGGAACCATAGATATAAGCATAGAGGAAATATCTTAGTCCAATAGTAATATCCTCCAGATCGAATTTCGCTCATGGCGGCCAGTCTCAATGTAGTCTATCCGTATGAGAAGGATGAAATAATAGTGCACGTAAGGGTGTGCTGGCACAGGTGTACTCCTTATTCCCTCATTCTCATTATCCGATGGGACGACAATCCGACACGACCGGAGAGATCCGTCGCAAGACCAACGGCGTCACCTGCTTTCCGAGTTTCCGAGGCACGGAGGTGAAACATCGCCAAAATCTATCTATTTTGTGTGTTGTTGTTGATTCGAACCCAGGACCACGCAATCAGCACTCGCGCTTACTTTGCGGCTACTTAACTTATATGACATATAAGCATAACATATTATGACATAGTGACATGTGACTGCTGATAAATTTATTCAATAGATGTGTAATGATGACAAGTATATTACAGGTATGGTACGTAGCCGTATACAGATGCACACCAATAAGTCTACGCACTGACACAAAGGACTTAACTTTTGCTAATGTATCAGATACAAGACGATATAATATGAATACAGTGGACCCCCGGTAATCCGGCACTCCATATAATCCGACATGGTCTATTATAATATTATATTATTGAATTTTTTTTGACAATCTTCGCTAATGCATGATTGAACAAATTATAACTTGTACGCACCATCACTATTGTGCTCGACGCGTAGCGTAGGGTATTGTTTTGATTCTGATTGCTTAGGATGAATTTGATTTTTTTTTTAAATTAAGTGATACTTAATTGCTTAGTTTGAATTTTATAATCGTAATGAAGTACGATTTGTAAATAATAATAGTCAATAATATATATATATATATATTCAGGACTAAGATGAAATGCCTCGTTTCCAGCAAAAAGGTTATCCAGTTCTCCACACTCAGCATACGAAACACAGCAGCATTAAGCTACTATTAAACGTTGGTATTCTGTGAGAGTGTGGTCCTTCCCCGGTTGATTCGATTCATTCGTGCTACAACTATACTACTAATATAACGGCAGCATGGCTCTACCATGTGTATACCCTTACTACTTTAAACTTACTTAACAATTTCTATTAAACAAATGGAAATAAATGCACCTGATTCCCTGATACTTGACTTGAGCTGCTATTTCACGCTGGTATTCTGCGTGGTCGTGGTCCTGTTCCGGTCGAGCCGACCCGTTCGTGCTACAATCATAATATGTCAACTGAACAAGGCGCCCTCACTTCAAACTTGAGATGATTAGGAAGTGTGAGGCCAGTGAGAAGGCCATTAAAAAATGATAAAAGGAAATTCTTAATTCTACATTGTGCTATTTTTAAATTATAACGAAAGCTATAAATTATAAAAGCTATAATATATATCCACACTCTCTGCACGAATGAGCTTCCGAAAAAAAAAATACATTAATTGCACGTCCATCATCAAAGTTTCAGATTTTATCACATTTAGAAAACGCTGCCGAAAGGTAATCGATTGTTCAATTACAAATTCCTGACTCAATTTATCGACGGCATATCGTATTAAATATAATACGTCCCTATACTCATGATGATGTCTGTTTGCAGTCGTTCACTAATTACTAATTAGCAATATTTTAAAAAAAATTGATGCTTCTAATTCGCACGCAGCGCCAGTGAATCGGCTCGTATCATTTTCGTCATTACAAATATATCCTGTGCAGTTTCAAATTTCAAAATATACGCCATAGCCGCAATCACTGTCATCAACGACAGATCACAATCATCATCGTTATTTCTAAAAAAAAAAGAAGACATGCCTAAAAATGAGTATTTTTCAATAGCTAACAAGTTGAGATTGAAGATAATTTATTTCTCAGTAGCGACCCTCCCTGGTTAGGCTTGGAAAGCCTACAGTCAACCTGATGGTAAGACTATCTATTGTGGCGCTATTTAGATCTAAACCATCCAGGGACCCACTCAAACACGCAAACAATTTCATCAGAGTCAATCGAGCCAGTTTCGAGGTTTAGCCAGACTAACGCACACCAACTGATTTTATATATAGAGACTAGCTTGCCAGGCTGACGTTGTTCTGCCCTTTTCGGTTTGCCATGTCGTTCTTTCGGCGTCCTTCCTTAAATTAGCAAAAAAAAAATTGCGTGTTCCCTACGGGCAAAAAACTATCCTATCTCTCAAGTTGGAACAAACTGCACACGGTGTGTAAATTTGATTTAAATCGGTTAAGTAGTTTAGGAGTCCATCGCAGACAAACAAAGTGACACGTAATTTATATATATTAAGATAAGATTAAGATTTTTCAAAATATTTAGTACAAGTTCAGGATATTCTAGACATATTCTATAGCTGCCGTGAGAAATTCGCAGCACGTCGTGATGTAGGCTGACCCTTATAACGCATATGTATACACAGTGGCGGACAATTAGTTTCTATACAACGCTAATTGAGCGTACACAATACACGAGCAGGCATGGCGCCGTCACGTGGTGACGGTAACCAGGCCGCGTGCACGCGTACCGTCCTACCGTACAGTCTCGCGGTACAATTGACCTGCTACCGAGTTAATGAGCAGTCAACATTGCGCATCATACCACCTGCGTCCGGGTACATGTCTCAAATCTTATTTCTTCTGTAGCCCCGCTGTAGTTCAATCCCGTACGGAACAAGTATTTTTGCTAAGATCCGGGTAATAAAATAAAATGATGTGTCATACCTAGTTTGAAGAACACCTCCCGCCCTCCCTCAATTGCATGCACTAATCCCGTCACCATTAATCCCTACACCATTACTCCCACACAACACTAAAAAAGATACACCACCGACGTTAATGCGGGGATTTTATTACGATAGTTCATGGGTTTTAATTACTTTGCGCGTAACCCTAACTCTTTTTCTAAAATAAAAGTAGCCTAACTTACTCCTTACAACATCAGCTTTCTGCCAGTGAAAGTCCCGTCAAAATCGCTCCAATAGTTTCGGAACAGACAGACAAAAATTTTAAAAATTATTTTTGACGTGTCAACGTCTAATAAATCAATGAACGCGGGCCGCACGCACGTAAAAGAATACTCATTGGGTGCGTTTGGCAGAAAAAAGCGCTAGCAAGCGCTTGTAAGCAAAATGGCGATCGTAAGCGGTAAACGCTGTCAAATCGTAAGTAGCTATTTTCCTCCAGGACACGATGTTAGTTTTAACCGGGGAACCTAACCTAATTTAAATATATGTTTGTAAAGTATTCATATTAAAAACTTACTAATCATGATTTTTTAATAACATGTATATGTTTATTCACGTTATTATATTACTTAAAACTAATATTGCACAAAACAACTTATAAATTCTACTTCAAAACAAACAAATTAAATAAGCAAAATGGCGGATTGTGTCAGCGCTACTGAAGTAGTAATCGTGTCCTGGCAGAAAACTATTTCAGCGCTTGTAAGCGCTTGCTAGCGCTTTTTTCTGCCAAACGCACCCATTGTAACGTTACGCTCATTGTAACGTTACGATTGGAGCGAGAGCGCTGCACGAGCGAGCGAAAGGCACAATCGGCTTGAGCGTTCGGCTTGCGCCGCATCTATCTCTCTTCCACAAAGTATGCAATCATTTCATCAATGTTTTGTTATGACGTTGTCACGTTAAACTATCGTCCGTAAACCGACTTTATAGACAACCAATTTTTTTGTTATTTGTATCGTACATACTTTCAAATGCATTTAGTAAAAAGCTATTATTTTGGCATTACAAACAGACAGTTCAATTTTATTTATTTGTATAGATTACGCGGATCTTAGCTGATTATTTTTTAACACCTTTAACATAATGGATTTCCGCAAAGTATGCCTGATTCGGCACGAAATTATTTAGGTTGCCAGACATGGCAATAATTTGGCTGTTAGAGTAAAAAGTAATGGAGCCGTGGTAGCTCAGATGGTTAGCGCTCGCTGTAAATTTAACAGTACGGAACCAACCCTAGTTCGAGCCCCACCGGCACCAATGAAATTGTTAATTGCAATTTTAAGTGCTGACTTATCACGTGCTCGGCGGTGAAGGAAAACATCGTGAGGAAACCTGCATGAGAAATAAAAAAATATTTCGAAGACATGTGACGTTCCTCAACACCCAATGCGCGGCGGACACTTCCTTGCCCTAAAACCCAGCAGTGGGACATATATAGGCTGTAACTTTAACTTTAATTTTAAGTGAATAACAGAAAACCACACGCACTTAAAAAAAAACAATCACTTAACATTATTTGAGGCCGGCTTTTTCTGAAGTGTGTGTTACGTTATTAGCCCCGTGACATTTACAAACTTTGGAAACGACTTGAGGGTAAGAAGCCTGCGTAAAGACGCTCGCATTTTAAAGGTCTCCTGTTTTATTTTCCTTTACTGACCTTCTCCACTAGGACTGCCGTTAAATATTATAATAAACTAACTTTTTTCTGCTATACAAATCATGTATGATTTGTATAGCTGAAAAACAACCGTATAACATTCAATGAGTATATTAATCATTACGTTTTAGTAATATTCTCGTTAATACTACTAAATAAAAAAGTTTTATGCATGGTAGAGCCATGCTGCAGCTATGTAATGATTGCAGCACAAATGGGTCGGCACAAAAGGGCCCCGTTCCTCACAGAAT